GTCCCATCATCATCATCATCCCATCATCCCCATCGTCACTCATCCTCCACTCATCGCACACTTGTCGCCGAAACGGAAGCGCAGCTCGTTGCTGCCGCTGCAACTGCTGCGTGCAAGTGTCTGAAGATTACTATTACCCACTTGGCAGGCAGCCTGCCTCATGCCACACACACCCACAGAGCCGTAGCCAGAGCCAGAGCCAGTGCCAGTGCCAGTGCCCCAATCCCTGCGGAGGCAGCGGCAGCGGCAGTCTGCATGCATAATAAACAAATCAAATCCTATAAATGTGCAAATTAGCTGTGTGCAACGTCACCGAATGAGTGGCTCCTACACTGGGAGAGAAAAGGCAATGAATGCCAGAAGCTGGAGCTCCCAGAGCACCAATTGGGAACTGTATTTTCCTCTTCTGTATCTCTGGATAACTTAGGATTACTACTCTTAAAATTGTGAAACAAATTTAAACGTTTTCTTCGATGCACAGGTTCCTGGCTGCCAAAATCTCATTTCGAATCACATTTTGGCATCGTTGTCTTTCCCTCAGTGTACGAAATACAGATGCAGGCGTCATCATTATCATTGCCCCCCCTCGCACACCCCTCCGACATCTCTCTGCCTCTCTCTCTGTTTCGCTCTCTATCATTTCATGAAAGTGAATGCACTTTTATATGCATGACTGCTAATTACAGCGACAATTTGTCTATCTACCCCGTCCCCATCCCCATCCCCATCCCCGTACCCGTTGCCTACCACGCCCCATGGGATGTCCCCAGAGCTAAACGCTTTGCTTTTGTATTACAAATATTTAGCACATTTCGGCTTCTCTCTTCTTGGATTCTTTCCACCCCACCCAACCCCTTTGATAATTGCCCAGGGGAAGCCCCTAACCAAACGATTTGTCATTGTGTTTTTTGGAAGTATTACCAAGCAGAAAATGGGGTATGATCCGAAGAGAGTCTTTGCCTTATTAATATGCCATTTATGAGGCAAAAGTTCAAGTACAAAGTCGGAACTATATAATACTTTCGATGATTATAAAACTCTGGAGTTTCCTATCATATAATCAAGCATTAAATTCTCTGATAGATAAGGAAATTCCAGCAATTTGCACGGCAATTACGAAGGTGTTTAAGCAACATTTTACAACCCGTCTTACAACAATACTCTGTGCTCCCAGAGGGAGAAAAATACCTCTAAAACAGAATTAACCAAATTACCATCGAAAAACCCACTAATTAGATTTCATTTTGCTGAGATGTGGAATTTCTCTCTCCCCCAGAATACTCGTAACATATTTATGCAAAAGTCTCGCCTCTCTCTCCCTCTGGCAATTGTCTTTTTGCCATATTTTTTAATTAACCATCGGGCATGGAATGGAAGAGCTAAGCAAATTATTAATAGCCAAAGACGGAGAGCGGGGGGGAGCGTTGGCATTGAATTTTCAATTGAAACAAATCATTATTTGAGCAGCGTGTGGATCGTATTCAATTGGTGCTGGCGCTGGTGCTGGAGGTGGAGGTGGCGCTGGTGGAGCGTGTCAAGAGATCGAGCGCCCACAGACGCATCCGCATCGGATCCCATGGGAACCCATGTGCAGATGTGTCTGTCTGATCGTGCGCCGAGTAATTGGCTTTTTATGGGGCACTATGTTCAATATGTAAATGTAATTAGCAAACAATTTGCATGGCCCTACACTGGTGTGAATAGAAATAGGGTTACTCCTCTGGAATACCCCTCTCATATGCATACAAAAGAGGGAACTAGTTTCCTCCCATCTAGAGCTAATAAAAGTGCAATATTTGAACCAGTTATTCTTTGTCACGGATAAAACATTCATTAATCGCTTGTGGAACTAGTTGTAAATGCAAATATACGATGAATAAACGGTCAAGTCGGATGTGGCACTCACCTTTCATAGATCGGCTTTCAATTGAATTAAATTCCTGAAATTAGAGAAACATTTTTATAGTTTAAGCTAATGAAGAGTTATGGCTTTGGGTAGCCAATAAATCACTCATTGGTTGCTGGATTCGGAGCAGTATTTCATTCCCCCCCCTCTACTTGGATCCCCATAACTCTTCTTCGAGTTATCTCCCTCTCCGCCCCTCCACATATCAATCCCTCTGGCACATTTCTCGCTGAGTCGAGAGTTAAATTTGCATATGTCCATGGGCCGGAAGAGATATTCCCTGGCATTTAGGTTTGGGGAGATTTAGCATATGTGGCCAGTGGCCAGGGGGCACTCCCTCCCCCACCCTGGGGATGTGGATGTGGATGCTGTGGCTGTGGCAGTAAAATTCACGCGTGATAAGCAGTTGAGCGCACATTTTCACGCACTTGTAAACAGGGAATAAGCGAAGCGTGTCCGCGAAAAGCCGCAGGCAGAAGAATGGAGTCGAGAGGACCCGCCACTGGGGGGGCTGTGTGTGGGGGAGCCTGGCAGGATAATTAATTATCAATTTTATGGGCCACCCGCTGGCATATCCTTGGCTGCAGTTGTAGTTGCAGTTGGGATTAGGTTTTGGTCAGCGGCGGAGTTTGCCCAGGAAGGACATGACAGGACGGGACGGGACCGGACAGGCTGTTACTGCTGGCTGTTACTGCTGGTGTCTGCTGAAGGTCGTCTCGTTGTCGCGTTGTGGGCTCAACGGCTCAATCTCAATGCTATAAACTACGTCGTCGCCGCACTCACCATGCCCTTCCCCTTTCCCCATCCGCATCCCCAGCGACATTTACCTTCAACTCGCAGCAGCAACAGCAGGCGTTGCGGCGCTGGTGGCAGGCGTGTATGTGCAATCTGGTGGCACGCTGAAAATAACGCTAATTGCATTTTGCAGCTGCCAGTCGCCGCTGCCCCTGGTCACACACCAGCTACGCTGCCACCCATCTCTGGGGCATGCCACACATCCTGTTTCATGGATTTGCTGGCTGGCTGGCAGGCAGGCCAATAATTGCTGGTGGGCCTGATCAAACAATATTGTCGAATCGACAGGTTGCTGGCTTTGGCTTTTCGGATTAACATAAACTCTCGTATAAAATAAAAGGGAACATTTTAAAGGTGGAAAAAGAAGAGAGGGGCAGCAGAGAAATTTAAGGAAGAAATTATGCAAGAGATGCACGGACTCTCCACTCATTCGTTTGCTTCATATCGAAGGAATCTTCATTCTTTGGGTGTATTTTGGATTAACATTTGGATTGTTTTTGGGAAGAAGAGATTAATGGATGCTTTACCTCCCTTTTGTATAGACATTTTCATCTAAGAAGTGCCTCAAAGATGTTTTCTGAGTAATTTGTAAAACATTCACATTAACACTTTATTTCCCTGGCCCGAAAGGAATAGAAAGGGATTAAAAGGGCGGGACAAGAGGAAGTGCCATTCGGCGAGAGCGTTTTTCATTCCCGATCATTATGAAATTATACAAGGCGGCTCGCTTCGCTACCGCAATGCGCGCTCTTTTCGGGTCTTATTTTCCTCATTACAAGAGCAAACTTCGTTGTTATCTCACTCATCAAGCATGGCGTCAAAGACCCGAAAGAGAGTCGGCCGATCATTCCCTAACTTAGCTTCATTACTCCTCCCTCTTTGGTCTTCTCTGCTTCCAGTGCAACGGGAGTGGAGTGCTCTCTTGCAAACACTGCAAAAGTTCGACTCTCTTCTGCTCTTTGGAACGGACTGCTTTGGGACAAAGAGAGCGAAGCTTGGCTTTCATTCGTTTCTATAAGTAAAGAGAGAAGAGAGGCGAGCGCTTGCTAGCCACTCTGTTGAGAAGTTTTAAGAGTGTGAGGAGTGGGAGGGCAACCAGATCGAGTGGAATGGAATAGAACTTGGAATCTACTCATAATCCTCGACCTACTCCTACCCCCAACAGTAAAGTCCCCATTGACGTGCAGTAAATTGCTTAATTATATGAACAGCTCCAACCGACAGAACAAAAAGGATTAAGCAGCATTTGAGGCGGCTAACTAGAAGCCGAGAGTGATTTCGATTCGATTCGATTCGATATGGAGGGAGTGTGGGGCAGGCAAAAGTTTGTTTGTTGCCTACTTTTGGGGCATTGATACCTTCGGCTCGGCTCTGGCCAGAGGCAAAGCTCTGAGGCTCTGCTCTAGGACTTCTGGGACTTCTGGGCTATATATGAACTCATTCCGTGCCAAATCCCAGACAAAGCCAATGCGCTACAAAAGCCTCTGGCTGACTGGCTGGCCACAAAAAGAAAAGGCCAAACAGAGCACAGAGAACAGAGAGGGAGATGGGCAGGGGCAGGGACATTGGATAGGAATGGAATCGAATCGCAGGAACAAAAAAAAAGTTCAACTAGCAAAAGGACACGAACATCCCACAGCCAAAGCCACAGGACCAGCAGCAGGACCTGGACCCGGCCCCCCAGCTCCCATCCCCAAGCAATTACATTAAATCTTGGCTATTATTCTTTTACTTTGTAGAGCTCTCTCTCTGTTCTGCACACAACTTTTGCCGCTGCCCTCTGCCTGCCTCGCTGTGGCAGGGCCACTGCCTCGCTGTAGTTAATCGCCTCCAACGTGATTGAATTCCATCGAACGCAGGTTGACCAATGACCGGACCAGGCAGGGGGCCGGGGGCAGGAGGCAGGGGGCAGGGGTAGACCAGTTCTAATAAATGAAATAGACCCGCTTGACTTGACTGCATCTGGCTCTGCTCCTGCTCTGCTTCGTCCTTTGGCTGTTTCTGAGAGGCTGTTGGATGTGCTGTTGCCTTTGACCCCGGGACTTGGTTTATGGCCAGTCACTGACCACTTAACTAATTGCTCCTTTGTGTGCCACTGACACGGGCAATAAAATGAGTTCTCCCATACGGGATCCAGTGCTCCAGTTGGAGCCACAGTTTGGCGGCATCTATCAAGTCAATTATTTGCATGTTCCACTCTTAATCTTTGGGATACAAGATGGGGGAGTCTCTTTGAAGGGAACTTCCCTGGCACTCTTTAATCTCATCACTCTATAATCTTCCCTTGCCTTCTTTGCAGTTCCTGTGTGCATCATGCACAACACCGGCAAACCAACCACCGCCTCTCCGCCCACAGCACAGCAGCAACAGCAGCAGCAGCAGCAGGCAAGGCCACAGTCGCCGTCCCCCGGACGGAATCCCGCGGAGGATGAGGACGAGACCGATGTGATTGGCGACCTGATGGGGCACTACGGCAAGTGGCAGCTGCTGATGACGGTGCTGCTGTCGCTCTTCCAAGTGCCCAACACCTTTCACATATCCTCGTCGGTGTACCAGGCGGCCAACAAGGACTTCTGGTGCCAGCGGCCGCTGGAGCTGCAGCAGATGCCCGTCGACGAGTGGCGCAACCTGAGCGGCTCCAACGACAACTGTCATCGATGGGAGGGCATCGGCTGGAGCAGCCTGGCGAATGATACCACGCTGCAAGAGGTGAGTCCCTCAGTCCCTTCATCCCTCTGGAGAACTCAAGTGAAACCCTCTCTATCTGTCTTTCAGGCAGCGGAGGTGGTCGCCAGCGTGGGCAATCTGGTGGCCTGCGAGAGCTGGGAATACGAGACGCACGACAATGTCGGGAACACCTGGACGTCGGAGTGGGACCTGGTGTGCGACAAGGAGCACCTGAAGAACGTGGCCGAGATGTTCTTCCTGCTGGGCGTGGCAACAGGTGGCATCATCTCCGGCTATCTGTCCGACAAGTTTGGCCGCAAGACAATGCTCTTCATATCGGCCATCCTGCAGACCATATTCGGTGGGTACCCCCGTTCCCCCTTCTCTAGCCACTCTCTCTATCCTGTGTGCGCATTGTGGCCTTTAAAGGCCATCTGCCACACTGCCCCACACTCACCTTCAACGTGTCATCATGACATTGGCCATGGATGAGTGTCCCGTCCTCCGGCCCCCCCATTCGACTGTGAACTTGGCCATGTCTGGGGGTCAGCACACGTCGAGTGGCACAGCGTGGGGCACTCAGGACTGGGGCACGGACTGGGGGCTGCCGCAAGCGCAGTGCCTTGTTGTCCTTGTTGATTAAATCTCTGGTACAATGTAATTGGAATTTGCATTCAAAAGGACATTACTAATGAGGAATCGTGTGTGGCCTGCACACGTCTCTGATGCGGAAGCGGATGCTGGGAGCTCGGGCTCTCAGGTAAAATCGAACATTGAATCAAGGGTTCATGGTTGATTGGAGAGCCCTAATGAAGAGGGATCCTTAAATTTACTTCCCCGAACATTGCACAGATATCTATAGTATCTTTTCGTCTTTCCGTCCATCCATGCAGGTCTCTGCCTGTACTTCTGCAGCTCCTTCGAACTGTATCTAACGCTGCGCGCCCTCCTCGGACTGGTGTCCGTTTCGGTCACCTACTCGGCCCTCATTCTGGCCATCGAGTATGTGGATGGCAAGTGGCGGACCATCGCCGGGATGTACAATCTCTTTCCACTGCCAATCTCCTACATGATCATCTCTGGCCTGGCCTATCTCACGCAAGACTACCAGGCCCTGCAGCTGTGCATCGGTTTGCCGGGAATATTCCTCTGTTTTCTCTGGTAAGAATCGAATCCATTTCGGAAGGTAAACAAAATACATCTCGCGGAGAGGAGGAGAACGAATGAATTTCCACAGACGAGTATATGTATTTAGAGGCACGCGGTGTATAGATCAGAGACCAACGAATAAATAGCCCAAACAGCGCGCGTGGGTGTCCCGCGAAGACTCTTCCGCGGCACATGTTCTTCCCAGCTAATTTATTTGATTTTTCTTTTTGTTTTGCCTGCAGGTTCGTGGTACCGGAATCGCCGCGCTGGCTGCTGGTCAAGGGTCGTGTCGATGAGGTGCGTCGCATCATCGAGGCGGCGGCCAAATTCAACGGACGCCAGCTCCCAGTGGACTACCAGCTGACGCCGCCGACGCAGGAGAGCAGCTCCCAGAACATAACGCATCTGTTCCGCTCCAGCTATCTGCGGCGCATCACCATCTGCTTCCTCTGCATTTGGTTCACCATGAATCTGGTCTACTACGGCATTATCCTCAACATGAGCTCCTTCGGGGGCAATGTCTACTTGAATTCGGTGAGTCCGGCCCTCGCATCAGTCCGTCTTAATTTGCATCAAGCATACGCCGCGTGGGACGGATCCTCGCTGGCAAATCCACTTAGGATTGCGAATCGGATGGAACATTTCATCCGATCAATCAAGCAATCATTTAGCAAGTGCTAAGTGCCCACTCGTCAGAGCAGCGAGGATGATGTCCGTCTAATTGGATTTGTCAGCAGAGCATTCCCTCTCCGCGGAATGCGGAATGTGGCATGTCAAAATTCCCTGGTGCACGGGCCAGAGGGTGGTGTGAAAATGTGTTTACAATCGAATTATGATGTTACTTACCGCCACGCCCCGCCCACACACACACGCCCACCTCCACTCTCCATGGACAAATCCCCCACAGCCACTGCCGCGCAGCCACCATCTTATGGGATCGGGTCGGGGAGGGAGGGGGGTCTCGGATGCTGGCAGGGGGCCAGCAGAATGTCCGGGGATTGCCGGCGCGGAGAGGCCTTGGATTAGCGGCCCGGCCGCACAAAATAAACCGAATATAAACATGTTTGGCATTTGGTTTTCGGGGGATTTTTCGATTGTTATAAAATGTTTAAGGGATTAATGGGGGCTTTGTCTGGCGAGAGAGTTTCAGAGATGAAAGGAATATCTTCAATATTTCTATATACAAATCATTTAAATGTTACTTGGGGTCCTACAGGATAGAGAGATCTATCATTCTTTGATTATCTATTATCTAAAGATAGACTACTGAAATCCCACTTCAAAGAGCCCTCGCTCCTCCTCAGATTTACCAATTTTCCCCGCCATTTGCTCATCACTGTCGGGAAAATCCGACAATGGGCCTGGGCCTGGGCCAGTGGGAGGGGCTTTTCAGCTAATTTATTGCATAATTTATTTTGACATTTGCTGGCGCACCTTTGATGCCGCGCTCTGATTTAGTGCGCCCCGCCGACACTTGACAACTTTTTGCTCACAGAAGTCCCCGGTCTTTGCCCCCCAATGTTTTAGGCGCTAGCTGGCCTAGTCGAAATACCCGCCATCGCCGTGGCCATGTACATCATCACTAAGGTGGGCAAGAAGTGGCTCTTCTGCGCCACACTCTTCTGTGCCGGCGTGGCCTGCTTCTGCGCCACCATCACCGAGGGGCGCGAGGACATACTCTGGCTGAAGATCACATTCCTGATGATGGGCAAGTTCACGATCAGTGCCGGGAACACCATCATGCCGGTCTACACCGCCGAACTGTATCCCACGGCCATCCGCAATGTCGGCGTGGGCGCCTGCAACGTGGCCGCTGGATTGGCCCTGATCCTGACACCCTATATATCGCTGCTGGTAAGCCAAGGGTACCCCAAAACCTCCTTAATCCTATCATTTGATGACTCTCTCCTTCTGCAGAACAAAATCGAGGGCCACTTGCTGATGGCTCTGCTCACCGCCTGGAGCATCTTTGGGGGCTTTGTGGTGCTCTTTTTGCCCGCGACGGCCGTCCGACGCAATGCTGCCAACTCGGGATCGGGCGGTGGCAATCAGAATGCTGCCAGTGCTGCCAAGCAGGTGTAATAATCGCTGCTGTCCTGCCCAGCCTCTCTGCCCTGCCCTGCCTCTGCCTCTGCCTCTACCTGTGCCCCCGCCCTGAAGAACAAAATATATTTTGGCTGGTCCAAAGTATGAGCTGATGATGAGAAGAAGAGAAGTACAGACCCTAGCCCAGCCACGCGCCTGGAACCTGTAACGAGTCGACATATCCACCGCCTCAAGCCACCTCTATCCAATAGATCCAAGAGATCCCACAGATCCCACAGATAAATAGATAAACCAAATCGATTTGACACGCAGTTATTGTACGAATGGTAATCGAGCAATCGAATGTCCAGATCTATGCCAATTTAGAACGCTAGAACGTCACAGAATGTCAGGCAGGACCTTGTTTTTGCGTAGCACGTAGTGAGTACGAGTATCTTAACAATTAATAAAACTACAACTAAAACTAAAACTAAAGCGTAATGTAACGTAATGGCTTATAGCTTATGTCATAGTCTCTAAGTATCGGAACACAAACCGCAAAAAGCAACAGAAATACCACCCTGACAAAATCCGTAGAAGATTCTGTGTCTTTCCAGAGCTCAAACGAGACTTCGGTTCGCATCGAAGGCAATGAATTTTTCCACAGAGTTCGGGGAGGTCTATCAACAGATATCCCCCCACTGGAACTCTGTGTGAATTTTGAGTAAATCCCATAGAATATCTTGTTGAATTAATGCATGTACACAAGTATTGCTAATCTAATTACAACACAGACACCCACACACGCAAATTATATTCTTGTCAATATGTCTTGTCAATATCTCAACGTACACATAATCTTCTTGTCGTCGTCGTCGTCGTCGTCTTCTTGTTGTCTATTAATAAAAAATGTTTTCCAAAACGCGAGATCAATTAGTGAAGAGTGAAGAATGAAGAGAAGAGGCTAAATAAATCTTCGAGAATTGTAATCTCTAGTAATCGTAGTCAATTAATGCTTAGTCCTATCCGTACATATACACACTATATAGTGCTATATATAGGGCAGATCAGTCATCAGTGAGTATCGGTCAATTATATGGATTTGTATATAGTACAGTCATGTACCCCGAGGACGAGGAGTTTTATTGTTTCAAAAGTCGGCTCAAGAAACAGAACAACAAAATTTCCAATATAATGCATTTAACAATTAATTAATATACATATGTATATGTGTGTATGCCTATGTATATGTATATGTATATGTGTGCGTGTATGTAAATCAATAAATAAAATGTAGCAAAGAAATACATGCATATGCGCGTCGTATAAAAGTATCTGTTGAATCGCTTGTTGTACTTATGTATCTTGTATCTTAAAGAATTGTTATACTCATTTCTCCATTCAAAGATGTGCATATATATTTTGTATTATTTTTACATAGTTTATGCTTAATGTTTTGTTGTCTACTGTACTTACGATATAAGATCCGGAGAGACTCTTTCTTTAAGTTTCGAAATAAATGGAATACCCGAGAATCAATTAATTGTTAATTTTTAGGCCGGCAGAAGAGATCAGATCAGATCAGATCGGTTCGGATCGGATCGGATCGCTCTTCTTCCCAAGAAAGTTTGAATAAATAAATATATATATATGAAAATTGTTGTAAATCAAAAATTACCAAAAGCAAACCAAAGCTAAGAAAATGCATATTATAGTGTCAAAAGGAAATATATATATGAATAAATAAAAATTAAAAAGGTACTACAAATGGTTTCAATCCAGAAAGGCAAAGGAATGGAGAGGTTTCTCGAAATTATGGATGGACAGGGTCTCAATAGCAAATAGTTGTGGGGGTATATATTTCTAGTTATCGAAGTGATCGATTATGGACTTTTTGTATTAAATTTTAGGGCGACAAAATCTGATCATCAGCATAGAATTTTCGTCGTGTTTTTTCGTGCCGATGTCGCACGAAGTAAGCACGATCCATGCCCACCGCTACTCGCAATACAATCAAAGCAAAAGCTTCAGCTGCAGAGGGAGGGAGCTTTACGGGCAGCTTTTTCGCTTACCTGCACGGCACGCTCTTACGTTACGTATTTCTTAGCAGCAGCGGCTGCCGCTGCCGATGCCGCTGCCGGTGCCTCTGCAGTGCTTATAACAGAGCCGCGCGAACTTTTAACGGATTTAGATCGACGCCAACAGCTGACCGACGAAAACCGATCGATCCGGAGTTTTTCCAAACCAATCAAACGAAGAGTTAAGAAAAGAGTTTTTCGTGTATATTTTTTAGAGCGCCAGTGTGGAAACATGAGCGGTGTGCTGCGTCGCGGTTCCTTGAGTTTCGATTTGAACAAGGGCAGGGGCACCATCGAGGCGAACCTCTACGGCGGGTATCGCGAGACAAAGCCTGCGCCGGGCACACCGGAAATCAGTGTCATAGCATTGGACTTTCGCCGCTACTCGGATGACTTGAAGAAGGTTCCTGTTGTCCCAGTCCCCCCAGCCCCGCCAGCAGGTTCCCCCCCCAACCCAGACCTCAGCCAGGATGTGGACAGTGATGTGATATCGAACTTCCTGGGCCACTACACCCGCTGGAGCTTCCTGTGGACCTTCCTGCTCTGCCTGTTGCAGCTGCCCACCACCTTTCACCTGTTCATGTTCGTTTTTCAGGTGAGTTTTTTCGGTGTTTTTGGTGTCGGTTACGGATACGGTTTTCAGACCAAATATTTGATCAGTTGATTGCCTCACACACTCCCCCCTCTAGGCCGAAAACCAGCGGATTGGGGGCAGCACGGGGCTTAGACCGGAAGAAAATATTGAGTAATTGATTGGGTGATTGGAAAGTGTGCGCTGCGAGTGATTTGCAGTAATAGCAATGTTTACGTTTATGTATCTATGAACTAATTGGACAACAAAAAACATATAAAAAGTCAACTTTTGCAACTTTAAATGGAGCTATGGGTTTACTCCTGCTAGATGGCTCACAGATATCACCCAAAGTGGTAAAAAGTATCTCAGGGGAAACCAATTGAAGTAGACTTTATATTGAGATTGTTTTGGGTAATGGTTGTAAACGCTTATCAACGAAAGATAGAGCCGAAACACACTCATTTGTTGGCCAATATTCAGTGGTAAATATTTCACGGTCTCTCTTGCCAAAAAAAACAACAATTGATAAGCGCCGCACTTGAAAAATATGTCAATTTGGACAACAATTGGCAGTACTTCAAACACACTTTCAAACACGCTTTTACCAATCATTTTTCAAGCGTCTGTTTTGGCCCACTCGACTTCCTCTCGACCTTCGGGCACCTTTTGGCCACGCCACGCATCTCCATTCATTTGCATTTGACGAGCCATTTATCAGCGGGGCAAGTATCTGACGGATGGCTGCAGTTGCGTGCGCATCATTTCGCGGCTCGTTCTGCTGCCAGAATGCCTGCCTCAATTGCTCGCTCCGAGTGCACGCCAATCGATAGTAATGAATGATAATCATCATCGAGTAGCGTGCTAATGGGCTGCCCCAAACAAATCGCAGAACAAAAACCGCACACCACCTTGACACACAGAGAGGGTCATCGGTAGTCGAGGGATTGCAACAGAGTCAATCAAGAGCCCAAGAAGTCATTTCACAGACGATGATTACAGCAATTGGCAGCCAATAAAGTGGGGTATTTGGTCATTGGAGGCACCTCCCTCGATCATTAAGGATCGATCATCACAGAAGATCAAAGAGAGACGACAGATTTACAGCCCTTGTGTCATCGGCGAATGAGGAAGCCAATCTTATCTGCTTAATTGTTTAGATTTTATTGATTTTTGATAGCCCTCGATTCGAAATAGATTGCTTTTATCTAATTAAAAACACTTAATAACGGTCTAAGGCATTTGCTCTGATGAAAATCTCACTTGATATTACACATACGTTACGTTAGACACATGATAAGATATTCTATTGCGTTGCCAGAACTATAAAAGGTATAGTTTCATAGAGATCTGCCTGTCATTCGAGTGGTAGTGCTGCAGTGAGTGGTGGAGCATCAACCTTGTGGGTGTCAAGGCACTCCCCGAAAAAGGTCGGTCATTCGAGTGATTCTTTAATGATTCATTTGGCCAAAAACACATTTAGTTAACACGTATTTGGGCTATCAGACAAGTACCATCTCCGGCCGAATTGTTGGACATTATCACAGAGCCCCTTTTGGAATCGGAATGAACGCCGCGCCTGCGTAGAGCCGAGTCTTGTACGCACTCTCTCACCAGAGTCGCGACACCGGTCTCAGACTCAGACTCAGACTCAGCCGAAACTTGCATCTGAATGGTGGCATGGCAATCTGTAAACTATATATTTCACAAGCCCACATTCTAATTCAGTTGGCTTGCACCACAAGTGGCAAACGGTTGCGATTTCGAGTCTGAGCCAGATCCGAGTTCCCGAATGGAGCTGTCAGATCTGCCGCTGCCATCTGGCGAGGCCTCGCCCATGCTGCAATCCAGAGACTTGGAGGAGCTGGACCAGCTGCAGACCACATTGCTGGAGCGATTCTTCGGGGCCATGAGCCGCTGGCAGGGCCACTGGTGCTACCTGCTCTCGATCTTCCAGGCCATCTGCACATTTCACATATTCATCTATGTGTTCCAGGTGAGTGGTCGGTGCAGCAGGCACCTGCTGTGCCTGGTCTTGGTCTGGTCTGGTCTGGGCCAGCAGCTTTCTGCAATCGTTGCGCTCCAACGGCTGCCACATGTTGCCCATCGCGTTGCCCCGCAACGACAACTTCAACTAAACTCAAGCGCAAATGACAAGGTTCTTTGTTGAATCAATGCCAGTTATCAGCCATCGTCTACTCGCATGTACACACATATGTAGTACTTCTGATAACATTATACATAGGTAGAGGGTGTGCGAGTGCGAGTAATTGCCAGCCAGAAAGATAGACTGACAGACCCACAAACCTGTTGATTGTATAAAAGATTGCGGCGCCTACTGTGAGTGGAGATACGCGTGCATTCCGATCAGTGAAAGATACAATTTCATTAAGACGCGTTTAGAGAGGGAATTTCGATTGAGACCAGGGCCATTTGGGATTCCTCTAACTAAAGTTTGGGGCTTAGATCTCTAGAGAAGATCTGCCCAATATCTAAGTCTATCTGTATCTCTAGACCCCCTAAACTTCCTTCTATCCCTCCCCGAAGAGTATTCCCTGTTCCACCTTAATTGTTTCACTTTTTTGCTTAATTATTGACACACAAAATAAAAATAAAAACAAAGCGTGGAGTAATAACAAATATATGAACTGGCTTTCAGACCAAACGAGTTTTGCTTTGTTTTTGCCTCCCAAAAGTGAATTCTTTGGGGCTGATATCTCTGATATATTTCTCCCTCTGCAAACCGCAGGAGATGACATCTTTATGGTCATAGAATTTCCCACAATGTGGCAAGAGCAAGAGCTTTCAATTAGCTGCCACTCCACTCCACTCCCATGCCACACACTGATCCATATCAGGTGTTGCTTGAGGCAGACACCAAGGTTAGAGCTTAAAAGGTTACACTCGGACTCGGTCTCGGTCTCGGGCTCGTACCTGCGGCTAATATTGACCGCTAAACTGTCTAAATATATTAATTAAACAATAATAGTAATAAAATACACACACTTACCGATTTGTGGCCCAGTGTCGGAGAGGCGGCACGGCACGGGGCACACTGGTTGCAGCGAAGCGAAATCGGATTTGCTTTCTCACCTTTGGGGGGGGTCAAGCATGGCGGCCCTGTAACAATTAAGTTAACGATTAGCCACAAACATATTGAGGGTTTAAATAGAGCAATCTACCAGGGAGAACTGTGGGTCAAAGATCTTCCCGGGAATCTCAAGCAGGAAGCTCTTTTTCCCCCGACAACTCCCAACATTCTTTTAACAATTGAATGCAAATTGACGGATACTTGATTAACCAATCGTAAATCATGTATTGTCTCAAAAACAATAGCTTATCGTTGGATAATTAATCTGAGATTTGCATAAAGCTCTAAGGTGCTTGACCTCAGGCCATAGACCACCCTTTAAAGACCCATAAAAGTCGGGTTTTGCCTCAGAAATAGTCCCTCAAAGCCCAGTGTGCCGCTTGTCAGGCCCTGTCGTTGGAATAAAGTGCAATCAGGTGCAACTGCAGCTCGTGCATATCTGCAAACCAATTTATCAAAAAAGACAAAAAAAATAATAGTTAGAAAAAAATCTGTATGTGGTTCGGCGGACAAGTAGAACCCACGCTGCGGAGCCCAGAATTCCATTGTTGCACGAGTGCATTCGTATGTGGCAGGCCATGCAAATGCCTGAAACGTGACAGGCGGCAACCGAGAGAGAGGGGGGGAGGCAAGTGCCACAGCGGCCACAAACCGCGCGACAAATGACATCAGAGGAGAGCCGGCCAGGCTGCCAGATCAACAGTTGCCGACGTGGCCATAAACCACCAAAAGAACACTCACTTTCACCTCACAGGAAAAGGACAGACAGAGAGAGCTCTCGAATGAATTATTGAACATGTTTTCTGTTTTTCTGCTTTTGCCGGCGCACTTTAACTTGAACTTGAAACAATTTCCTCACAGCATACTAAATGTTTAATTGAGGCACGTTTCGCAGTCTCGAGACAGGGGCAGGGGCTGGGGCTGGGGCAGGGCTTTCGACCTGTTTCGAGGTTTGCCTAACACCGGAACGGGTGAGTGGAGAGTCTCTTGAGTGAATAACCCCCCTGGAGGTGCCAGTAGCTCCCTTGATAAGCCGCTTACAAGAGGATTCGATCTTCAATCAGTCAAACCGCACACAGCACTTCTCCTTTGGGGTAATTTTTGGGCTGTCACGAAACATGCTCGTAAATGAAATGATTAATTGGTCTGTAAAAACTAACTACGGAAGAAATTTAAACGATTTAAACGTACGAGTATCTGTGGCATCGGCTTTGCTTTTCTCCCATTCGAAACATAAAAAACTTGTTATTCGAACTTTGATCGGGTTCGGGTTCGCGGATTATGTGCTTCACGTAGAAATTGCAAACGTGAATCGATTGCTTAAGTGTTGGGTATATTTTGGGTATGCCTTTCCGAAATTTGGGTATTCTTTTGACAAGCTGCGGCTGAAGTTCTGGCAAAGATATACAGGTATTTTATAGGATTTATATGGTTCTGATATGTTGATGTAAATAAAGTAAAGAGGTCTCTGGACGAACTACTTTGAGTTATTACTTTGAGATATATTACTCATGAGTCAAATGGTCCAGTAATAGCAAAGGTTATACAATACACATGTGCTAAATCATGCCCAAGCCATGTAAATAGTTGTATTTGCAATCGAGAGGAGTCTCGAGTCTCAGAACCCAGATGAGCTGAGCAGCCGAGCCCCTCATGAACAGCTCTCTCATGCAACATCTTAATACTTTATAGTCTTTGGTAATAATAAGAAATACTAGTCGGCTCTAGCACTACCCCAACATTTACCCATTTCCCATACCTCTAATCTTACAGACTGCACCCAAGGACTTTTGGTGTGCCCCGCCCGCAAATCTCAACCAAATGAATCTCTCGGAATGGCGCAATCTCAGTCAGACATCGGATGGCTGTCTCCTGCTGGACCTGGACTACTCCCAGCTGATCGTAGAGGATGGCCAGGTGACGAATTGGCCCGCGAATGCCAGCGACCTGGGCTACCGGCAGTGCCAGGACTTTGAATTCTCGGACAACGAAGCCCTGACGCTGGTGCAGGAGTTCGAGCTGGTCTGCGGCCGGGATATCCTCAGTCTGGTGGAGACCTGCTTCCTGGTGGGCGCTGCAGCCGGGGCCGTGCTCAGTGGCTGGATTTCGGATCGTTTCGGCAGGCGGCACACGCTGATGGCATTCGTGACGATACAGAGCGTTTTCGGTGAGTCCCCAATGCATAGCTGATGGACTCTGATTGCCCCCAGGGTTTGGATGGACATGTGTGGCAATTTGGTTTTGGTTTTTTGGGGATTCATTTTCTAATTGTCATTTATATGCAGCAATGGCTGCTTACATCCATCCTCGTCCACCTCCTCCTCCTCCTCGTCCTGCGGATGAGCGAGCATGTGAGCATTTGCATTTGCATTCGTCCTCTCGCTCTGCGGCATGTCCTGGGGTCGGGTTGGGATTTTAATTGACTTTACACTTTTATTTACGTGTCTGACCTTGCCACTGACATTCTCGCTTCCTCTGTGGCTCTGCCACATCTCTCTCTCTCTCTCTGTGTGTGTGTTGCAGGTGGAATTTTGGCCTTCTCAACATCGGTGGCCATGTTCATGTCGCTACGTGTTATAATTGGATTCGCATCAATGACCGTGACTGTTGTGAGCTTCGTGCTGGTGGTGGAGCTGGTCTCCGGCAAGTGGCGGACCGTAATCGGTATTCTCAACATTCTCCCAGTGGCCGTAACGTACGTCCTGGCCTCGGGTATGGCCTATCTCATACGCGACTGGCGCATCCTGCAGCTGGTCATCTCATGGCCCTGGCTAATTATGCTTGGTATTTGGTAAGTAATTAAGATAGAAATCAGGGAAGAAAAAGAGTGGTTACACTCAAGAGAAACCCCAGGGGCAGGCCTTTGGGACTAGCAAAATAACTTTATGTTTTAGACGACTCTTTGATATTTTGTTCCCTATTTAAGAGCAATCAGAGCCATAGATTTCCGCAGCCAAAAGATAAATCATAAATGAAGATAGTCCCCAAAGAAATTCCTAAAGAATTATACCTTATCTTAGATGCAAAACTACTTCCGTTTCAACTGTCTTTCTAGAAAACCCACAGATATTTCCACTCCATTCCACCTTCAAGTTCGTCCTCTTCCTTTCGATTGGCTAAACCTTCTGCCAGCCACATTTCGACTTCAAAGCCTGCACATTCTTCGAAGGCAGTCAACAAAATGAATTGACAACAGAACGAAGCGGAAAACAGCAAAGAATCCCACACACAATGCGTGTGGGATCAATTAGATTCCCAAAGGGACAAAGCACATCCCTGGCCAGGGACATTCCTCAGTGTTTACACTCGAGAGCGGCCCCCAGGGGGAATGGAATCCTTTGCGATTAGCCACATTAGCCAGTGGCCGGCCAGGACTTCAATTGCAATCAAATGAAAAACATTCCGCAGGGCCAATAAATACTCGGGGGAGAACTGACATTGATGCCCCGTTTCCTTCTTGTGCTCTTTTGAAGGTTCTGGCTGCCGGAGTCGCCGCGCTGGCTGTTGGCCCAGGGCCGCCTGGATGAACTCTGCGGATTAATTGAGCGAGCGGCCAAAACGAATGGCACCAGCAGCCAGCTGCCGACCAACTATCGCAAGACCCTGGAGGCAGCAGTGCCGCGGGAGGTGCAGCCCCAACAGGAGGGGGCCGGCAGCGAGGAGGTGAAGGGAGACTCATTGGAGGCGGCGTCGAGCCACAAGAGTGGCCATGTGAACCCCCTGCTGGTGGTGTTCGGCGGCAAGTACTGGCGCACCACGTGCCTGACGCTGATCATCTGGCTCACCCTGATCATCATCTACTTCGGATTGACCCTTCACCTGAGCAACCTCGGGGGCAACATCTACATAAACAACGCCGTGGCGGGCACCATCGAGGCCTTGTCCATCTGCACGAGCATTCTGGTGGTGCTCAAGGCGGGCATACGCCGGAGTCTCATCGGTTACATGCTGCTGCCGGGTCTGTGCTGCCTGGCCACGAATCTGGTGCCGAGCCAGACGGGGGTGATAGCTCTGGCCACCATAGGTGAGTCCTCCTCCCACCGCCACTCCTGGAGCTAATCCTTCTTATGTTCCTTCTGCAGCCAAGTGTTTGATTGGTGCGAACAATGCCATCATTCCCACCTACACGGCCATGCAGTATCCCACGATTGTGCGCAACTTTGGCGTCGGAATGGGCAACCTGGCCGCCGGCATTGGCCTCATCCTGGTGCCCTTCCTCTGGCATTTGGTGGGTACTCCCTAGCCCAGCAATTACAATCTCAATTCCCCCAATTACCATCGTTTTGGTTGCCTTTTCGTAGGAACACATTGATGCCCTGCTGCCGCTGAATGTCATGGGTGTTTGTGGCCTCATCGGCGCCATTGCCATTTGCCTGATGAAGGATGTGAATTAGCTGGAATCTGCACTAACCCTTTTCCCGTTTTGACATGTCTAACTGTGATATATTGGAACCACACACACACACACACACATAGGGGGGATAGCGCTTAGTTGCACCCGCACTAAAAACATTTCTTTCTCATTCTACACTAAACTAAGTTTTTATATTTGTTTTTTATTTATATCTGAATGGAATTAAAAATTCTGAATTTTATTTTAAAACCAAAGCAGAGATGTTTCTTTAATTATGGTTTTTAGAAAATTAAAAAATTTGCGGGTCTTTAAACAAGAAATAATTAAAACAAATTAAATCTGGCAGGAAAAAAACGCCTGGCTAGCCAAGCTGCAAACCAACTGAGAGGTTTGAAGCCCAGCTAATTCCCAGATGGTTTAGAGCATTGCTAACCTGCCAGAGAAATCGCTTATACGCACCGTTGAAGCAGCTTTGGCTTTGACTTTCAGGCCAAAAGCAAGGCTTAAACCCAGCCAAAGCTCAGTCTGGAGCGTTGCCAGTGGTCTGAATTTTCGTTGGGCTCATTCGCGGACGCGGTAAAAGTAATTTAAATCTAAATCACGTTCCACGGCGCCGAAAGACAAAATCGATTCTCATGTGCGAAATCCATTCACCTTCACTTTCCTTTTCCATTACTTCATCGAGAGATGCGCTAACCGGAGCCGATTGTGGACTACTTTTGGCATTCATACACCACACACGCCTCACATAAATTTTCCGCAGGCCCAAGCCAAAGCTCCACTTGGAGCCGAGAGCCGCTGCCTATAAAGCCGCCTGCACACCTGGTGCGCCCAGCATTTGAGCGATCAACGGCGGTTGGCCCAAAAGTAACTACTCCTCAGCGGTGCCCAGCGGACAAATCTGTTCTGTCTTTCAGTGTGAAGAGTGTTTCAGTGATTTCCGGAATTTGGATAGTGAAAGAGTCACACACATTCATCATGCAACTGCCACTAATCGCGGTAAGTTCTCCCACCAACAAAGCCCACAAAACAACTCAAGGACCAGCCCCTGTGCTACAGTTCTTTTGTCATAGAAGTTATGCGTGTGAATCATGCACTGTATGTGCTCCCCGCAAGGTCGTTCGGTTAGCAGCTTAAGATCGCCATTCAATCGCTGATTAAGTCGCCGATTGAGACATATTCAGCTTATGCACTTGTTCGCTGGGATATTTGCATTTTCTAGAAAGTCCCTCAATGTCTGGCTCAATGCAATGGCAATTAGCAATTAACGATCGACAATTGACATTTGATTTCGTTTTGGAATCATAAAAATACCCATAGATCGCATCATAAATATGCGATGCAATCGCTTCGGCGCGATTGTTGTGTGGCCCAAGAATTCCATTGCTCAACCAAGCCCTCGGGTCAGCTATTTTAACGAGCGTTTGTTTGGCCCAAACCCAAAGGCCCCACCCCGTCCCGCCCAGCCCTCTGCCAAGCAGCCCAATAATCAGCTCTCAAAATAGAGCCACAATTGGCTTAAGTTCAATTTGCTGTACAGCCCCAAAGATTATCAAAGGCAAAGGCATTTGCTACTGAGCTTCGGGGCTGATCAATTGTCAATTACCTGTTGAGATTTGGGGCGAATTAATTGGCAAAAAAGATATCTGAAATATATTTTTGGGGATAAGCCTTGTCACAGAAAATTACTCTGATTTCTGCAGGATATATTAAGCATGTCTTCTTGTTCAAAAAATAAGTGGAAACCCCCTAATTACTGGCAAGAATTAGGCCCCAAAAATGCCTATTAAGAATCCGTAAAACCAACCAAATCGTATCTCCATTCTAAAGCTGCGAAAAACCCTTGGAAAAAATTTTGAAAAACCCATTAATCAGCATGGCTAACAAGATTTTTCATGCCATTGATTGATTGCTTGAATTGTGGCTTGGCCTAATGAGGTTTGCCAAAAGTTTGCTCGAAATGAAATGATAATGACAAGAAACACTCAATTTGCCGGTAATTTTTGGAGAGCACGACAAATCATTGTGTGGCTGCGTCTGCGTCTGCGTCTGGGCCTGGCCTATAATGTGTATTATTTGTACCAAGGTCGTTGCTGTCCGTGGCCAATAACTAGTTGATTGGGGCTGCCAAAAAACGCACTCAAGGCGGCAGCAGCCCCAACAATTTAATGCAAATTCTCGGCACGCACACGCAGTCCACTGGAAGCCAAGAGCAGATGCAGTTCCCAAAGATACAAAGATACAGCAGACACACAGAGCCGAGACCCACACTGAAACGCAGCTTTGGGCGGGGTAAATGTGTATTGAGAGGGTTACGTAATGAACGAGTATATGAATTTATTTATGTACTCGATTCGTTCGGTTTCGTTTCGTTTCTGAATAAAGTGTTACATATTTGAGACCGACCGAGCAGACTCTGGGAGCCGGCTTGAAAGTGCACTGACAACTATTCCAGAAACGAGAAAAACGCAAAACGAAAAACGAGAAAAACAGTTTTCGATGGGGCAGCGTAAATTTCGATTTCATTCGGTCAATGGCCAAGTCAAGGCCAGCAGTCCTTTCCGTAGCCTTTCCTTGGTTATTGTTACTAATGACGGGTCGGTGGAGAGGAGTGCCCTGCCCCAACAACACAGCACATTTGTTGTCTTTCTTCGATGAGTCGACGAGTCGTCTGCACCCACCCACGCCTGTAGACCAGACTTGGGCTTGCCTTCCCTCGCTCGATCTTTCAGCATTTTTGAATTTTTCGGCTGTCTCGGGGGGGCTCTGGTTTCCTTGAACCAAACCACATGAGGCGGAGCGGATCGGCGCGGAGTGGAGTGGAGCGGAGTCTTTAAAAGCAATTAAATCAAATCAAGTTCCCCCGCCAGCAAATGCACCCAAATACTCCTCGTACAGGTTGCAAGTGTCTCTCTCTCTCCCTCTCTCTATCTGTGGGGCTATATCTCTTTGGCTTTTCATTATTTTTAAAGCCAAGTAGTTCACTTGACCAGGTAGTGGTCAGCCAGTAGTTGGGCAGTCAGCCAAGTCCGCACTGGCGGCCACTGGAATGTTTTGGCTTGAATGGCGCTGCACATAAAACAGACCAATGGCTCGGATACAGGAAAGTAATGGCTAATAATAATAATGCGAGAAACATACAAAAAATGTATGTGTGTGTTGGTGTTGACTGAATACATAACAAAATTTGCATGCACTGGCAGATAGATCATGTTTTTGGGTGAGCTGCGGGATATCAATTTATAGCCATGTTTATTCAAGTGGCAACAGATTAAACGATTATGAAAGACAAGTGCAGGACGGAAAGAAAGGCTTTTATAACCGGGGAAAAATATACCAAAGGAAACAGTGGAGTGGCGGAAGGTGTTAGAAGATGTCCCTTAAGGGTCGATTCTGCTGGGATTTCAATCCCAATTTGTACAGATAAATGGATGCATTCCTTAAGAAAATTATAAGCCGGAAATCCTCCCACCATTTCCAGGTATTTCTCGACTTTTATCCAATGAAATTTTCACCATTACCATATACCCCTATCGAATGTCAAGAACCTTAATGGCCACCGTAATTCCGTATTGAATTTTTATGTACTTCCCCAAAGCCATAATTCTTTATACAAGCCCCGCGAAAAACTGGAGCAAAGTTATCTGATCTGTGACCAGATGGAAACTGAAACAGAAACCCAAAAGACTTAAGCCTCAAGCCATAAGCCGGCTCTCTGCCTCACCTCACTCACGCCTTGTGCAACTGCAACAGCAACGGCAGCGGCCACTAATTACAAATAATGAAATCGCACCGATCTGTACGATCAAAGCGTCTTGGACTACACTGCACACTTGTCCTAGACTTTGACTTCTTTTGCGAACCGGAAACTTTTTGGCGATCAGCGACTGAACTGTGCTTTCCACATGCCACATGCCATGCCGCATAACTCTGGCAATGCAAAATGCAAATTACGCAATCCAGACAGCGAAACAGAAATGTTTTTCTTGGTCTCTAACTGTACGAACACCGATATATCTTGAGGTCTGGCTCCGGCTCCGGCTCTGGGCTTCGGTTTGTCTTTGGCTTTTATGATCGATCGGCGGTGGTGGCGGGGCGGGGTTCCAGCGATTTCTGCGATTTGCTTTATGGTCCACATTTATAGGTATTGCACCGCCACCACACCGCCACCGCCACCACGCTACAATTACAAATTGTTGGCGGCGTACCCGGAGTACAGTACATAAGCGGTGTATAAATTTTTGAAACCAGTTCACGAAGGTGTGAGCCGATCAGGGGACTCCAAAAGGGGTGCCAGAAAATCGGGGAAAGCCTATAGAAACTGCGACTTTGGGGACACTGACACTACCAGCTGCCATCTATAGGGAATTTAATGAAAACTTTTACTTTTAAAAGGAATTCCTTCTTCGAATTGTGTATACTTTTCTACAGAAACAGAAAGACATAAGCCATGGATATCTTTCAGATTTACACCTCCCATACACGGGGATCTCCCAAATTTGAGCTCTTGCTTGAAAGAAAAACATTAAAGTACTGGAAATTCCTACATTTCCTTGACCAAAATGCACTTCAATGATCACTTCGATCACAAATTCGCATAAAATGGTATTTCCACTACCAAAGACATCGGAAATGTGAGGAAACTTCTAAGAAACAACCCAGGCATACCCATAAATATAGACCCACATATAAAACTCCACTAATTAAGAGGGGCAACGCCAAAAGAGGAGGCGCAATGCCATGACAAATTGGCCACGTGTGGCTTGGCTGGGCCCCGATTCTGTTGCAACGCCCCGTTTTGGCACAATTGGCACAGAGCCAAGCACCGCTTTTGGTGCCGCTGCCACTAATGTGTGTCGCTCTACTTACAGCTCGTTTGCAGCGCCCTGGCTTTGGCCCAGGCCCAGAACTATCCACAGCGTCTGAATATTCCCGGGGCCCTGGTGTCGCCCGGTCAAGTGCCCCACCGTCAGGCCGTGCTCCGGGTGCGTCGTCCAGGACAGTCGCTGCGCCAGACGAATGCCATCCTGCCGGCTGTGACCCAGCGCATATCGTCACCCATCGAGGAGCGGCCGGTGACGGAGGCCGCCGAGGATGAGCAACCGGAGCCGTATCTGCCGAACCTCCTGCGCGAGCAGCAGCTGGCCCACTCGCAGCAGTCGCAGTTCCAGCAGGCGGCCGCTGCCTTTCTGAACGGCCAGCAGGCCATCGACTCGCCGTCGCCGGTCCAGCAGTTCCTGCAGCAGAACGAGGACTCCCAGCCGGCGGCCATCCTGCCCGCTCCGCCACGCTTCGCCGAGCGTCCCTCCATTCCGGCGCCATCGAATCGACCCGCCGCCTTCAACGACTTTGGCATCGGTCGCTTCGAGAACTCGCAGAGATTCGGCCTGGAGCAGCGTCCCACGCCCACAGCAGCAGCACCGCCACCACCTCCTCCGCAGCAGCAACAGCCCCAGCGAGTGGCCGTGATCCGCACACGACCAGCCGCTGCCCTGCGCCCCGAGCCGTCGGCACAGCAGCAGGCGCCTCGTCCCAGGCCCAAGCCAGTCCAGCCGCGTCCCATCATCGACCAGAATCAGCTGCAGGACGAGCGGTCGGAAAGGGAGCAGCAGCATCAGCAGCAGCAGCGCTCCAGGCGGCCAGTGGCACAGACCCTGCGCAAGTGGCGCGACGAGAACGAGGACGGCAGCATCACCTGGGGCTACGAGAACGACGATGGATCCTTCAAGGAGGAGCTCATCGGCACCGACTGCATCACAAAGTGAGTGGCACTGAGCTTGCAAACGGGAATGCCCTTCAATCCATAATTCCCTTCTTTGTTTTAGGGGCACGTATGGCTACATCGATCCTGATGGCAACAAACGTGAATACAACTACGAGACGGGGATCCGGTGCGATCCGAACGCCCGCGACAACGATGAGGAGTTGCAGGAGAACGGCTTCATCAACTACGAGGAGAACCGCGCCGTTCTGCCCAATGGCCTGGAGATCGACATGACGCAGCTGGGCAAAAAGAAGTCCAAGCGTCCCAGTAGCATCTACAGAAACTAGGCCGCTCGCTGCATCCCTCCTCACTTTAGTGTAGCACCTTAAGTCAAGCAGCTCTTAAGTCTTTGTCTTATTTGTATCCATCGTATAATTATGTCCATATTTCATTGAGTGTCAAGTGAAAGTGAAAATTAAATGTTTAGCGTGTATATATACTCGATTATAGGATCCATTCGCATGTATTCCCCATCAATAGGGTCGCTGGCGGCGTGCTGGGGGCGGCAGGCGGTTGGGCGGCGTGATGGAAATATCCAGGAAGTCGCCAATGCTGAACTTTGCCTGTGCGAGCGTCTTGTTGTCGTCGATGCCCTTTTGGCCCGTGCACGTGACTCCGATCTCGCGCATTTGGAAGTGATTGTTGCGATAGTTGGGATACACCACAGCAAAGTCAAAGTATGTGCCCTTCTTACGCGTATCCGGATTCACATCCCGCACCAGGGACGTCAGTTCGTGGAGGGTGGCGTCCTGCCATGTGTAGATCTGCAGCTCGTTGGTTGGAACATTCCCAAACATGTACTCCGACACGGAGTGATGGCGACCCGTGGAGCAAAACACGCGCAACAACAGCGGACAAGTCTGCCATGGAAGATTTAATAGGAAATTAGTTGGAGAGAAAAAAAAACACAATTTGCCACAGCCGGCTGCGGGTGGGGGAGCGAAACAAACCTTCTCGCGATCGATCTGCTTCACCTGCGTCTTTTCCTCCACAATCATTGACTCTACGTTGGCCATATTGGTTATATTTTCACTGAGCAGCAGCTTTTTGCTGGTATTTTAATAGAAAAGCGGCAATATTTGGATTTTGTTCACTTTTTTCTTGAAAATTGTTTAATAAGTGCTGCAAAACGTCACAAAACAACCCTAATGGTTTTCCTCATTTCCTCGTCAGGTGTCTCTGTCGATAATTACATACAACTGTAGTTAGTATGTAGCTAATGTGTAGTTACGGTGTAGTTATCTCGTAAAAACATTTAAATTCTTTCTGGTTCAAGTGGTGAACTAAGTTCGTTCACTGCAGTGAACAAATGAAACGTTAACTTTTAGTTCATGGTGGTTCCATTGAGGTTTTTTTCCCACCATATAGTAGATTCAAATATATGTCTCTTTTCGTTTTTTAATTAGTATATTTACGGTATATTTTGGTATTTTTCTGAGAGTCAGACTCACTTCTTCAACGATAGTATGAGTCGTCATTTTGAATGGGCTATAAAAGAGGGTATGGACAACAGGCAAAAACAGAAAAGTCAAGGTATATTAGACAAAGGGGTGAATTTTACCTTTCATGCGTTGCTTTTCTGACCCATTTTGCCTCATGTCCATATCCTCTTTTTCCTTCCCTTATGTAGTAAATATGTAGCAAATGTCGACCTTACATACTTGTGCCCCCATCCATTTGCTGTTTTGTTTTTGTTTTGTTTGCATCTGAATGAAATATATCTGAAGCATATAATTATAATTATTATTAACACAAAAAATTGAAGTGTGAATATAACAATTAATTTGACTTGTAAACCATCTCCATGTACCTCAAGAACAAGTACCTCAAGTTAAGTGAATACGCGAATGTGTTTTGTGTAGCCCCCACAGCTGTTCCAAAGGCCCCACAATTTTTCCAAAGTTCGACCGAGGCGGATGTGTTTTGTGGCGTTGCGGAAAAATCAAATTCTGTCGCGTCTTCGCGAATGACGCAGAATAAAGAAATGCAAAAACCTTAAGTGCGGCAGCTCCTACAGACTAACTACTAAATAAATAGCAACAATAGCGCTGCTAGTGGGCATTGTGCACCAATTTGAACATAAAGCAGCCGCAGCAAGAGGCACACAAGAAGGCGAGAGACGACCTGCAGCCCCCATCGTCTGGTTATTGGCGGATAAAAACACAGTTTCAATTATCGCAAATAGTTGCTAAAACGGTAAGTAAATACAGTTTCTAATATTTGCATATCCCATGCAAGTTTTGCAAGAATTTCTTATGTAATGCAGCCACAGAGAGCAGAGCAGAGGAGCACCACAGTTGACGTTTTTTACGTGCAAATTGTTGCTGCGCCGCAGCGTCTGCCAGTGCTAAATCCCCCGCCCACTATCGCTCTTGCGCCCTCAACCGACTGTAATTTTGTTTATAACAAATGTGGGGGATGCCGCTGAAAAGTCTCTAATGAAAGAGGGGATTATGTACTACGCACTTGAAATTATTGCACCGCAAAGCTATCCTTCCCTCCTCCACACACACACACACACAATCGCCCCCGCAGACGCCTTCGCACACCCACATACGGGCACACGCGCCATCTTTTGCCGACAAATGTTTGTTGTTATACCACACTGTGATACCCTAGCCGCAGAGAGCATTCGCTGGGCAGGGAAATGAGGGATTTTTTCGAGAGGGAAGCGTATGGGAAGCCTCGTTCACCTTGTAATGTGATTTTTCACGATATGTGATCTCGCACTCTCATGTAACCCCTTTGATTAATACGAAGCTGTAAGAAGAGTAATCCCGTTTCGTCGAGTCTGCATTCTCTTTATCGTGTCCTGCTCTTCCTTGCGGGTGTTTTCCCGTTACTGTTGCTGTGTGTGCGTGAATTTGGCGTGGGTGCAAAATATTTTCTGTTCTTGTTGCTCTTATTGAATTTCCGCCTCCTTCCGCTGCCACAGCTGCTGCTGCTCCTGTTACTGATGCTCTGCTCTGTTCCGGACACCCGCATCCATTGTGTTGTCGGGCCTGTGCTGCTTCTGGGAAGAGGGCTAATGGGGTGCAGCCATGACCGTGACTGACAAGCCCATAACCCCAACACCTGCCACATATTGCCTTTTGTTTTGTTATAAACTTTTGGTAGAGGGTGTTTCGGCCAGCTATTTGCAGGGTAGAGCATCCTGAGAAAAACTAATAGGATGCGTCCGAAGATCTTTTTCTATTAAAAATTATTTGGAAACTACGAAAAACAAACAAATAAGAAAATTATGTTTCAAATTACATCAGAACCGAAAGACATGAGAAAGGATGCTGCCATACGATCGGAAAGGGTATTTAAAGCTTCGTCACTACACATATCCTTTCTTTTCGTTATTGTTGCGCTGTCACTTCTTCTCCACGTCCACGTCCACGTCCTCGTCCTCGTCTTTTTGCTGCCTTGTGATTTTGTTGCTGCTGAATTTTAAACGTGCCACAAGACCTTCGATGAAAGATGAAGATGCGTGTGGTGGCTGTGCGGTAGGTGGGCAGGGCTTGCGGTGGGTTTGTTGTTTTTCTCGTTCGTTTTTCTCAAATTTTAATTGCTTTGAGCAACAGTAGAAGCGAAGCCCTTGGCTGTAGTCAAAAACAAAACAAAAAAAAAACCCCCCAATTCCCCAGAGCTGCACAACCAGTTAGAAAATGGAAAATCGCTCAGCCAGAGCAATAAATTCCAAAATGCAAATAAAAATTTCAGAGTTTTTCTTGGGTCTTCTTGGTATTTTGGTATCTATTTTTTACTCAGGCTAGTTGACAGTTGGCCAAGCGGGGGGATGGGAGGGCACACTGCTGCTGTGGGCGTTACCGCCTGCCAAGAACACAATGACCTGGCTGTAAATCTCGACCTTGGCTTTGCATAGCGACCTTTGTCTAAGGGGGTGTCCAATGCTGGAAATACATGTATATATATGAAATGTATATCCCAAAGCACCGCCAGCGTCCTGTCGCCCACTTGTCTGAGTCGACGACAGGGCCAGCAGCCACAGTGCCACTTATAAGTAGCCTGCCAACAATGGAGAGAACATGATGACAAATCAGTGAACAGATATAATCGTAACGATAATGATTCACGTTGTAAATGGCTAAGCAGAACAGCTGCTTGAGGTTTTTAAGGTACTATTTTTAAGTAAATGTCTAATCTTAGCAAATGTAGTGGAAAAGGTAGTGGAAAAACAAGTTAATCTATTCTGGGCTAAAACCATTCACCAGAGAGCTATTCCTGAATCAGAATGAACAATAGTAGGAGAGTAATATTTTCATAGTCCGTGTGATATTTCTATTCCATTATAATCCGTGTGCTTGAACCATTGTGAAATTCCTCTTTGATGGAATCACTTTGAGCGAATAAAGTGATAAGAACATGATTTAGGGAATGATTCTTTAAAAACCATGTATTTATATTACACAACTCAAAGAACTGTTCGTTGAAATCAATTCTCGAAGATCTAAGCCCGCTGTCGAACAGTCACTCCCCTTCGAAACCCCATTCTCCTCTCTTTCTCGCTGTCAAAGATCACTCGACTTATGCTTTCGATTTCAATTTCAATTGTCGATTGGGTTGTTGTTGCTACCACTATCGCCGGCACCCCGGTGGATCGGCGGATGATATGGAAGGGGTGGGGCAGAGTGGAGTGCGTATGTTGGGGCGACGACGACGACGACTAAAAATATGTATACGCAGCGCAGCGTCGTTTCCTCGCTTGCTGCTGACGCAAAAACGTAAATGAAACGATTTGAAAATAAAAGCAACTCATCTTTTGCCTGCACCTCTTCACCCCACCCCACCCCGCCCCACTCCACTCCCCACTCCCCGTGCGATGCGATGGTCGGCGTTGTCGCTGTGTGTTTCTGTTGTCCATTTTATGCTATTTTTATTTGCGTTTGTCTTTTGTTTTGTTTTCTTGTTTCTTGCGCTGGCGGTGACACTCCTTTGATACCCTTTTTTGTGTGCGGGAGAGGGGGAGGAATAACAATGAAATGTGGAAGAGTTTGCAGGGCAATAATTATTGAAGGGTATCCAAGTATCGACTCTCACAGCCCTCTCTCTCTTTTTGCCTGGGACCTGCCTGCCAATTGATGAATTGAGTACAGATCCGACTGTTCGTCAATTGCCGGAGACTTTCGAATCTGTTCTGCTGCAATTGCACTGACGTCACAGGCACAGGCACAGCCACAGCCACAGAGCACAGAGCACAGCCTTTAACTCACTTAACACATGACGATATGGCGATATAGCAATATAGCGATTGGAATCCACACACAGAAGACCACTCTGGGGGCTTTGGGTCTTTGGGGCCGCTTGTAAACGTCTCAATTAACGATAATAACTATTTCTAAATGTTATCTTTTGTCCGTTTTGGTGCGTCAGTGGAGAGGGTCTACGGCTGTCACGAGTGATAAGCGACGACAATGGCCATGATTTACAGACGATAGTAGAGGTGCCGGTTCCAACTAGTTGAACCCAGTAGATGGATAGATAATCCGCTTGAGGATCCCCCACACACACACACACTCGCACACACTCAGATGTTGCCAAATGTTGCCTTTCTACGATTAATATATATTGCTTTTGCATACGAAAGTTTGGCCAAAAACTATTTTGGCTGAGAGGCAGCCTTGACTCTGACATCCAGCGGGAGGGTGGGGGGAGGGCAGCAGTTGCCACTGACAGGCGACAACAAAGGGGCTTGGCTGACAAAAAAAAAAAAAAACTCCTCAAAATAACTGAGAAGGACAGGACGTTTCGTTGTGAGTGATAACAATCCAATTTGTAAAAGTAGTTGGAGACGGACGATGAGTGCGAGTGAATGGAAGAAGGTTCTGCTTTTATTCAAATATTGATTCGTTCGGTGATACCTTGTGATAATAGTAGAACCCCCAAAAAGCTCTTGAGGTGACATTTAAATAATATGAAAAATAGTTTAAAATATATTACATATTCATATGTAATCCTTCCAATTATACGGAATTCTGTTTATCTGAAGTTTAGATTTAATTTTTATATGCTGCGTGTCTGTTTCCACACATTGGAGGTCAAGGTCTTTCTCGTTAAATCCAGCCTTTTCCTTGATTTGATTTCATTTCCATGGAAAGTCATTTGTGTTTTATTATTATTTTTGTTCAATAAATAATTACATTGCATAAATTTATTTGCACAACTATTGTTTGATTACCGTCGATGCCACCGAAGTGTGAATGATTTAATTAACTTTCGATTTGATTCCCTTCGATTCCGGTGGAGTGGCGTTGTCGGGTAATTACGCCAAAACCTATGTGCGAACGTGATTCCCTCTGGGGCCTCCCTCTGGATGATTCTGTGGAAGCCAGCACACACGACACCACACCACACACAGGTTACAATATCAAATAGAGGCAGACACGACAGGGGAGGGTGCGGGTGTGGGTGGGGGTGGGGGTGGTAGGTGTTCTTATGACTGGTTAATGAGCGGTGGGTCGGTCTCTGGGTGGGTGGGTCAGACAGCAGCAGCAAGTGCACAATGCTGGCATACAGATGCGAAATGCTGTCAAATGAATTACGGGATTACGTTTAATGAGAGTCCGCAAAACAAAACCCACACGACCCCGACCTTCGACCCCGACTGATGCTCACTGAAAGAAGAACGAGCCCCATACGGTGGCTGATACGTGTATTAAATTAGGATACGCAATCCCTCGCCCATGTGTGGCTCGCTCGAAGTACAGTGCGTGGCAAAAGTGTAGGAGTTGCAGGACAGCTCCTCTCTCTCTTTGATGCTGTCTGTGTTTAGAAAGTTCTAGAGTGCTTTTGTGTGCCTTTTTGGGGGCTGAGAATGCAGTTCTAGTTCCTGGAATTTGTACAGTTTCCCTCGTGTCGTATTTCCAGCAATTTCTGTAATTTATTTTCCTTCAATCTGTTGTTTGTCATCTGTTAGTTCCAGGAATGCTTGGAGTTTGGTTAACACCCCCCCATGGAATTGCTTTCGTTGGAATGCTGAATATTGTATTAATGTAAAACACAATTCTATTCAGGGAATTCCAGTGAATTCTTCCGTATGAAACGCACTGTAGGGGCTGCAGACACACACATTCTCCTACGAGTATTTGCTGGATGATTTGCATTGGGAAAGCCAAGTCAGTTGGCATTTTACATGCCACAGAGGGAGAGGGAGAACTGCCTCACATGCGGCCAATCACTGGGCTGCCAATCAACGCCATTTGCTGCACTCCTGCAACTCCCACACACAATGCATAGGGCATAGGGCAAATGCGAAGGTTGAAAGCAGCTTTCTGCAATAATTATCTAACCAAAGCAGCAGCAGTGGCCTGCAACTGTAGGGGATTTACGGGGCAGACAAAATGCTCAATTATGAACGTTTTTCGTTGCATACTTTCAGGTGCCCACTGCAGCAGCCCCAAAAGACGGCTACTGCGGGGGTGCCGGTGCGCGTGGGCTGGCGTGTGGCATTTCCTAGAAGAGTTCACTTTCGAACAAAGGAAGAACAGAACAGGAGAAAATTAGGATTCAATTAATTTCGCCTTATAGAGCGGAGTCGGGTTTAATATCTCTTTCTCTCTCGCATACGAGCCGCACGGCTGACAAGGCTACCACTTTGACCTTTTCTGCACGCTGCCTGCCTGCTGCCTGGCTTTGTGTCAGGTGCAACACACAAGGTGCTCTGGTTACAAGCAACATGTGGCATGTGGCTGCCGACAGCGGCAGCCACCGCAGTATTAAATATGATAGGAGCCAGCCACAGGGGAAGGGACACGGGACAGGACAGGACATACTTTCTGAGCGAGTGTGGCATAAACAGGCGTTCAATCAGGCGCCTACATTTAATTAAATTCCAAACTCAAACTCCCGTTGAACATCAATCGTAAATAACTGTGTGTCTGTGTGTGCATGTGTGCGTGTGTAGGATGCACAGCACAAAAGTTTGAAATTTCAGCGGAAAATCAAATTAATCTTCACCCCAGCATCCCCCACAGGCGGATCTGCATTTGCATTTGCATTTTCCATTTTCCACATTGTTGCTACATTCGGAGAAATCGCCTTTTGTCACGAAAAACGAATGAATAAAGTAAATAAGGCCACAAGAACTGATTAACTGTGCCACATGCTGCCAGAGCTGGCCAATATGTTGGCAAATTCAATTACAAATTTGCAAACTTAATGAGCTTAAACGCTTAAAGCCAGTAGGAAAATCTACCAATAAAAACTATACGCATCCGTTGAAGGATTTTCTCAATGCCAAAGGAATATTGGGCAGCATGGCGGCATGGCAAGCCCTTGCCTGTTCGTTCATGTCTCGAAAGGCGAGCAGTTGTTTTTGCCATTCTGCCGACGCTGATCTGTCCATGAACAAACACACTAAACACAATACTCTATGTAGCGGCTATTCCTCTGCCTTGCACGCCACTGCATGAATCGAAAGGCGATAATTTGTTTTTGCACTGCGCGTTGTAACTCTGCCGACGCTGATCTGCCCGACGAGCGGCGATTTCTCTGCCTTGCACACCCTTGCATGCGTCGAGTAGCGAAGGCGAAGGTGACGGTGAAAAGAAACTATGAAAAAGTGTTGCTGGAATTTACATTGCGCTTCTGTCGGCGCTGATCTTGCTGATAAGCAAACCAGCTTTTTGGTGATATTTTCAAGCATTTGCAGTGCACTGCAGTGCAAGAAATCTTTGTTGCTTTTGGTGATGCAGAAAAAGCTTCTAACAACAGTTTCGCTTCGGCGAATCCCCGTTGGTTGATTTCTGAGGTGGATTATCGAGGGGTTTAACTAAAACTTTCCTCAAGGAATATTTTATATCCTTTTAGAGTACTTTTCCTCCGTTTCCCTTTCACTTTGTTGCGTGTTTCCTTGATGTCTTTTAGTTTCTGATTTCTTTTAAGTTTCAGCATTAAAAAAAGCTCCCATTCGTGAGGGTAACCAATTTTTAAAGAGTTTTTTCCCATATTTCTCATGCGGTAATTTCCATACACATGCAACATTCTGAAGGCGTCTCAAGGCGTATCCCCCAATGGAGGAGGGTCTTGGAGGCAGGAAGAATGGCCGAGTGGATGGATGGGGATGGATGCTGATGCTGATGTCTCTATGGGGCACAATGGCGGGGCGGGTCGAGGCGACCACTTGATATAATGATGACAGCAATTATGAATGAGTGAAGGTCGCCGTTGGATAACGACCGGCTAGCAATTCATCATCGTCTTGGGACCCCAGAGCCTGGTCGGCGGAGACCACAACTTTTGTCTAGGCTTAAAGCAGAGCTTTCTTTCGTTGCTTGCGTGCTTCGGTGGCACAGCCAATGATGACGTCACCTCTCACTCTATGTACCTCGGTGCGGGGCAGAGAGGCAAGCAATTTGCATGCCAGCAGGTCGTTTACGCTGACTTGCAATTTTTTGCCATGAGAGTAAAAGTACTTTCTCCTACGGCTACTGCTACTGCTCCTGCTCCTCCCTGGGCTGTGCGTATTCTCTCTGGAAAGGACAGAACAGATACGGATCGCAGGAGCCATTCACCAAACAAAGTACACACGTCATGGGAGGCGGAGACAGCAGACACAGGCAGGAGCCTTCCTTTTCCTGCCGCCTGCCCCCTGCCCCGAAAAAGTAACAATTTTCAAGGAAATCAATCATCCAGAAATAGATCAACTCGTCGTTGGATTTTCTCTGCTTCTGTTTTTATTCAGCCATTGTTTTTATTGTTGGCCGCTCACTCTTTTTTGGCTCTATGCTTTTGTGCTCTAAAGGTGGAAAAAACAACAAAAAAAAAAGAAGCAAAAAGAAGAGTGGAAAAACAGTACGCAACCTTCAGGCATGTGGGAGGGCGGGGGCTTCCTTGTCTAGGAAATGGTTTGTCGGTTGAATATCGAATGGTTTTTTGGGGGGGTTTTAAAGTAATTGAATTATTAGGAAAAGGTTGTTAAGAGAGACATAGAGACAACCGATGATTTTGGAGAGAAAGAAGGATGGAAAATGATTTTGGTAGAAAGTAGGTGGTGTTTTATGAAGTATTTAAGTGGCTAAAATGTTTCCATCACTTCTGAAGATAATAAAAACCCCTAAATATATAGATAAGCTATAAATATCCCCAAAAATATTAACTAAAACAAAAAGAAAGCACTCTCTAATTGCAAGCCATAAAAACTTTGCAAAAACCGTAAATAAAAGCACAGTTTTGGCTCTCATTTGGCTAATAGAGCGCACCACCCCCCACCTCATATTCCCCCTCTATGATATAGTAATTATCGCCTGCTGCATATCGCTGATTCATGGGCCATAATAAACCCAAGAGGAAAAACAGAGGCAGAGAAGAGAAATGTTATTTTTATATAGCATACAAATGGGCGCCAATCCAAAAACTATGCTCCTCGCCATCACAATAAAACGGAGTGTCCCTCCCACCATCCAAAAACCATCTATGGGCTCTATTATAAAGGAATGAGAGTCGCTGTCAGTCACAGGTGCCACCACAAGGACGACGTCACTGTTGCCATTCCGCTGACGCCAGTGTCGGGTGTCGCTCGCGCCAGTTGCTCGCTCATTCATTCGTTCCATTCGTTCGTTCCTGCCATTCATTCACAAAACAAAAAAATGCCTATATTTGCTACTATTAATCACCCACGGAGGTGTTTCACTCTCATTCTCTGCTCTGCCCCAGTATTTGGGGAGTCTATTCCTTCTTTTGGCAGCGGAATGAGCTCCGTTTCCACTTTTGGGCCCCCTGTTTTAACAATCTATTCCTAGCATTCGGCATAACAATAAAATCAAGAGCAATTCCGAATCAACAGTGCGTCACCAGGCAGCGGATCCACCAGGACAGGGGTTTCCCTTCCGCTCCAGGACACTATTGATTAGCTTCACGTGTCGATAGTTAAGCCCCCCCTCTTACCTCCTGCCCTGTATTGGGCTTCCTGGTGGCTGGCTTCACTCCTTTTCCACTGGCAGACACGTCTGTAGTTTTTTGGTCTCGGGCATGTGGCAGGAAGCCATTTTTATTGTCGTGGCATGGCTGTACGCTCGAAACGTGTTACGTCAACAATGTTAACCAAAGTTGTTCCCCCACAAAAGGCAGGAGTCGCGAGGCCTGGAGGCACGAGGCAACGAGGCCACAGGCTGTTTACCTTGCGTCAGGTGCTGCTAAGGAGCGTAGGGGAAGGGGCAGGGGCAGGGAAAAGTCTGCGGCAATTGTAATGGAAATCGAAGAGGAATGGCTTCCCACAAGGTTGTAATTATAAATGGCATCCCGTATGGTAATTATAGCCGTGGGGAACCCAACGCCCAATCCATCAATAAAACATTCCGTGTAAACTTTCCTCTCTAATCATCCTCCCTTCCTTCTCTCCTTGCAGCGCCCCCCCGGTAAGCTTCAGGCAGACACCATGTCCGACGCGGCCAAGTCCAATAATAATGCGGCGGCCGCCTCTTCCCCGGAGCCTGCGCCTGCAACCACCACCACTGATGAGGTGCTTCCAACCAAGGATGCAGCTTCCTCGCCAACGACACCACGGGGCGGCAACAATCACAACAACAACCACAGCAAGAGCCACAACAAATTGAAGTCGACACAGAACAGCAGCGGAGGCGGCAGCATAGACAAACTGTCGCCGGATCAGGACATCTACATCAATGCCGCCGACGGACTGCCCAGCCAGCACCCCTCGCTCCCGAAGGAGGGCATCATAGACAGCGACACGGAGCCGGAGGTGGACGCAGACTCGTTCGACGACCTGCCCACGTCCATTATCGTGACGAACATCCACTCTGAGGTGTTTGCCAATCCGGAGCTGAAGCACGGCATGGAAGAGCTCTTCCGCACCTTCAGCGAATCGGCCACGTTCCAGTGGCTGCGCAGCTTCCGGCGGCTGCGGGTGAACTACGACAACGCCATTGCGGCAGCCAATGCGCGGATCAAGCTCCACCAATACGAATTCAACAAGAAGACGGTGATCACCTGCTATTTTGCCCAGCCGGTGACACCCGTGAACAACAAGAACCTCCAGCCGCCGGCACCGGTCAAACAGTTCCTCATCTCGCCGCCCGCCTCTCCGCCAGCGGGCTGGGAGCCACGCGAAGAGGCCGAACCGCTGGTCAACCACGATCTACTGGCGGCTCTGGCCAGCCTCACACCGGGCGAGTCGCACGAGCTGCATCCACAGAGCGAGGACCAGCCGGCGATCATTGTGCACACGGCGATGGTGCCAGAGGGGGCCGGCGGTCCAGGAATCCAGCCAAAAGCGCCCATAGTGCAGACTAAGTGTCCGGAGAGGGCATAAGATCGCAGGGAGAGCAAAAGAGCATAAGAGCGACAGAGCAGCAACGCAACCTAACGATGATTCCCATCTGGAGTGAAGAAAGGATGGGACCTTTGATTGAAGTATTTTTTGTAAATATTTTAAATTCAATTTGTGATTGATTTACACATACCAACATTTAGCTACGTTCGTTCGTATGTTTGTATTATTAGGCCCTCAATTCCGTTTCCGTTTCGATATAGTTTCCGTTACAGTCCTGTCCCTCCCCCGTCCCTTTCCCTGTACTGTCCTTCCCTGATTTGTACACCCAACCACCCATTAATCAGAATTATAACTCCATCCTTTCTGTTCCTTTCAATCCGTTCCCTTCAACATTTTAAGAGCTATTCGAGCATTTAAGACTACGTTTTTGAGGAGCACCCAGTTTCTTGTGGAAGAGTCCTCCTGGCAACTGCATCTAGATGTGTTTTCTCTATATCTCTTTCCTTCGTCGTCTTCGTGTCTCTCTCTATCTCTCTCTCTCGCTGTATGTTTCTCTCAATTTTGATTGTGTCTATATGTGTATAAGAAATATCGATGTCAACCCGATATCTCCCCCCTCCATCTCTCTCTCTGTGTACCTTCTTCTTTGAAGAGAGAACCCCAACCCCGCCCCTATTCTATCTATCGAGTATATCTATATCTATATGTAAATGTTAATGTAATTCTAAGCCAGCGAAATTTAAGCACCGATATCGCATCAGATATCGGCCAAAGCATACGTATATATATGTATTTAATTGAAAATATATTCAAAATCGAAAATGAATGTTCTCAAATGTACCAAAAAAAAAACCTACAAACAAAACAAAAAAACCGAAAAAAAACAAAAGAAACTCTTTGAAAGAAAACTTGAATTGACGCGGGAACTGGCGTACGTGCCGTGTGAAGGGGGCGGTGGTCGAGCATTGACAATGGAATCTCTTGGGGACAACTGGGAAAACTATTGAAAACTGCAGCCACTTTCAAGGCCATGCTGAATCGGATGTCCCACAAATGCCACAAAAGTACTTTACTTATTGTCGCACTTTACTTTAATTGGGGCGGAAAAGTGTGCAAAATCGAGCGGGACATATGGCGCAGCATACTAAATGGCACTCCGTAAGGCAAGTTTTTTTATAGGCCTCCTCGAAGAAATGGATTTTACGATGTTAATATTGGGAGAAAATCTTAGGCGGAGAAGCATATGGCAGGAATTTATTTGTATTTGAATGCAATAATAAGATGTTGGAAGAATATGATTGTAGAAGGTGGCAAAGATTGTAGAACACATAGATATACAATTGAATAGTCTTTTGTTGTTGGATTTTTTGGACCGAAAACGAAGGCTTTTGTACGCCTCGACAAAGACAGTGTATATTGTTGTTGGACTCTGGGATCGACTCAGCTGCCCAAGGCCTTGTTTGGGCCATCTTTCCCTTCATAAAATCAACAAAAAAACGAGCTACTTAAAAACAACGAAGAGACCTGCGGCAGCCTAGGGTATCCTCCAAGGCCACACGGCCTCGTTTTATTCACTTTTTGAAATGGATCTTAGAGCTTACTACTAAAAAAAGGCAATGCTTAACAACGAAATAAAAAGGATAACAAGGGTGGGGTGGGTGTGGGGGCTAGTGCAGAACTTTGGTTTTGCTTCATTTGCTTTCGATATTCTTGAGCGGCACCATCTGCTCGGGATCGTCCGGGTAAATACTATTCTGGCGCTTCTTGCGACCAGCACACTGACTGAACCACGTGTCGCCCTTGCCAAAGTTCTCACCATCTTCGATGGACTCGGGCATGGGCTGGTTCATCGTCTCTGGGAGGAACATCACCCAGAAGCCAGAGGCCAGGGCCACCACGCCGAAGAGTACGGCGGGAATCTTTGGATCAAAAGAGTCCAGGAGGGTGATGAGAGGCGTAAGGGCTCCGGAGAGACGGGCACACATGGAGCCCAAGCCCATTGCGGAGTTCCGTACAACAGTGGGAAAGAGTTCCGCCGAGTAGTTGTATATGACGGCAAAGGAGCCGGCAATGAGGAGCTTGCCAGCCATCACCACAGCCGTGGAGGTGGTGCTGCCCTGAGCAATAAATGCGGCTATAATGCAACAAAGTCCGCCGCTCAGCATCAGGGTGGAGGTAATGGAGCGACGTCCCAGACGATCCAACACGAACACAATCGTTATGTAGCTGGGGAACTCCACGAGACCCATGATGAACAGAATCAGGTAGGGATTGCCGTACAGCTTCCCGGCACTCAGCGACAGTCCATAGTAGACAATGGAGTTGGCGAACCAGCAGAGGCACACATTGAGCGTCTTCATGCGGAGGTTGGGTGTCCGGAAGAGATCGCTCAATCCGGCACTGGACTTCTCCTCCACCGCCGCCTGCTGTTTGGCCTTTTGCACAAAGTAGTCCTTGTCCACGGGTATCCCGGAGCCATTGATACGCAGTCCCTTGGCCACAATGTCGACGGCCTCGGCGGCACGTCCCTGCATCCACAGCCAGCGCGGAGATTCATCGAGGAGCCACCAGTGGGCAAGGAACAGGCAGCCATGGAGGCCATAGATCACCTGGAGCCACTGACGGTCCTGAATGATGGCACCCCAGCCAGCAACCAGCATGATGCCGCCTGCAAAGACCGCCTGAAAGAGATCACAGAAGATTAGAAAAGATCTTCAAGTGATCCTTGAGTCACTCCGCTCACCTGGAAGGTTATGCCACAGACAGTACGCTTGGTGGGTCCCACCAGCTCCATTGTCAGCACAAATCCACAGATATAGGCTCCAGCAGATCCCACAATTCCCAGCAGATAGCGGGCAACCATAAAGGAAAAGTACTCCGGAATGAAGGCTACGCCCACGCCGATGATCAGCTGGAAGAGCGCCGACCAGCAGAAGACCGTCTTGCGGCCAATCTTGTCCGCCAGTCCACCGAGGGTTACGGCTCCCGTGAAGACGCCCAACATGAACACCGTCTGCACAATGGCCCCCATCCAGCGGCGATCGCACACATGGTTCCAGTCAATTGTGCGCGATGTCTTGTAGTACGTTGTATCGTACACGTACTTTTCACAGGCGATGGTCGTGTTGCTGTCCAAATCAGTGGGATCGTACATCAGGCAGGACTCTAGCTCCCCATTGGCCTTCGTTGGAATGGCAAACTTCAAGGCGCTCGCGTTCCAGGGCCCCACCGCCAGGATGCTGTCGTCCAGGCCCTCGATAAAGCAGCGATGCTCTGGCACTGCGGATACCGTAACCAGGGAGAGCATATGCATGCCTGCGGTCAAAGCGGAGAGGACTTGCAGGAAGAACTGCAAGAATTGGTATTTACCAAATTCCCCTGTAGGAAAAAGAGCGACGAAAAATAAATATGTGGGTGCTCCATCTATAAATATTTACTTTCAAATGTTTAAGATTGGCAAATAAAGGGTATTTAATGGTTGAAAGCAAAGAGGGAGAAACTACGCAGCAAAACGTAGTCCCGTTTGTCATTCCTTGAGCTTCACACGCAGCTTTCGCATTTGCTGAGAGCAATACCTGCGAGAGAGTGCCGTCAGGTACATTATTGTTGTTGTTGCTGAGAGAGCAAATGAGAGAGTGTGCATTTGCCCAACATGAGCAAAGCTCGTAGATGAGATCAAGAGATAAGACATTTGCGACGCACTGCATTCGAAGCGAAATACAACAAAAATGCAACAGGAGTAGCAGCGGCTCTGTCACACATACATATGTATATGTGTTTGGAAATATATGGCGCCTCTCTTCTATGGTGTCACTGTTGGAATTGTCGTCACTCCAAAGACTTTTTGCAATTAAATCAAGTGGAATTTATTCAATTCGATTTCAATTGAAAGGCATACGAATGTCCCCATCAAATACATATTTGCCAGCAGTTTGCTTTGGCTTCTTGGCTTCTACTATTCCTATTCTATTCTATTGTTTCTTTCCTTGTATGGTTTTGCAGGGGTCTTTGAAGAATGCATTGAATCGATTATGACTTTTGCTGTCCACACGATCGCTGTTGGATCGAGGACAGGGACGGACAGGGACTGTGTAAATTTCTGCGGTCTTGTACATCGAGTAGAGTAGAGCATTGTAGCCTAGATATCTGACACATGAGCGCGAGCGCCGGGTCCAATGTTCAATCAGGCATTTCAATTGATTTGTGGGTTACATTTATTGATCGTTTAAGCGAAAAAACTTTCGCCATCGATCGCAGCTCCGCGAGGGAGAGTCCTTCACTCATGAGTACCCCACGCCCCACCCCCATCCCATCAGTGTCTAAGCAATTCATTGATTACGTCGAGTGTAAAAATTATGTCATACAAGTAGACATGTACCGGGAGGGAGAGGGGGCGGGGAGCGGGAGCCGGACACATCTTAATTAATCTCAATTTGAAAATTTTGCCACAATCTTTAATTAAATTCAATTACGAAACCACCCAATATACATAATCAGCGTATAATTGCCAACGATCGATAAGGAAAACACGCGACATAGTAAATTCTCAGGGGGAAATCATAGCGGATTACCACCAACAACCATATCATATATCAAATACCAACCATGTTGTGGTGAGATTTATTACAGACAAACCATTGACACAGTTCGTTGCCAAGTGGGGCGGTAAGGTCCTCGAAAATTGCGCTACAATGTGTGTAGTACTTTCATATTTGTCATAGGAGATATACATATATTATCAAAGAGGGACCAAAATGCTGTTCTATGGCGGGGTTTTCGTGACGCCCCGTAAACAGAGGGCGGCGCGGGGTTTCTGTTATCTTTTAGGCTATCCTCGGGTTCGGTGTTGTATAATCTTTGATATTACATATTAAAGCAATGAATAAACATGATACCGGGTTAGATCATAGGAAAGCCTTTCTATATCAATCTCTCATAATAGATTAGAGAGAACTTTTGACGAAAAATGATGCATGGAAACAAGATAAGGCTGAAGCGATAAGACCAGTGATAAGAGCTTAAGCAAATCACGCACTTGAAACAGACATCCCAAAAACAGCACTAACGTACAATGCCACCATGCCTCAAAGTTCTTATAAAGATTTAAAAAAAAAACCCCATTGATTGAATGCTACTCTCTCGTGTTAGTTTACTGTTGAGGTAGATCATGGAGGTGAGGTTCTTCTATGAGCTTCCAAACGATTTTCATTCGCTTTGAAGGTCTCCACGGGGAAGTGCTTTCAAAGTCAGTGTAAATTACTACCTAACTGGCAGCTGCTAGCCAAATTGAGTACCAAGCACACCTCCAAATCCGAATACGAAGTAATTAGAGCTCCAGCAGACCCCCCAGAGAGGCCTTCAACAAAATAAATACACGTAGAAGAGCAGAGCGATATGATATGTGTTTGATGGGGTTTGAGTTTTAGGCCTCATACATGTGTGTGAGAGAGAGAGAGCGTTCACAAAAAACCAGTTTGATATTTTTTTTGCATTTTCTCAAATACAAATGTGCATATAGCCGTACGTACATATATGTATATGGGCCATAACTAATGCTAAAAGTCGCTAATGTGTTCATTACTCTTTCACTCCGTCTCCCTCTGTCTACACTTTCTGATCTTTCCCTTTCACTCTTTGTAGCTTTTAAATTATGAAAAAAAAACAAGGTTTAGGGGAAAATTCTATGGGATCCCTTGGTCTTAGAGCGAAAGAATTTAGCTTTTTGCTTTGCTGAAATCAGTGGAGATATGATAAAAGCCAACCTCCATAAACAGTCGCTAATTGATTATGGATTGATAATGAATGTAAGCGGGAACCGTACCTATAGGAAAAGTAAAAGTCTAGATAGAATACACTTTGCTGAGCTTTCAGATTTGCTTTCGTTTTAATCAATCGGAGAATTATATATATACGTAATTATTGTTAACTGTTTTGCATTAAGTAATAAACAAAACGCCACACGTTGCACAATTTATACGACCGCAAAGCACATACATACTATAAATCAACGGAATACCCCCTCGAGAGATCTTTATGGCACAGATCTTGTGACAAAAGCCTCTGCATTGCCTTTGTGTGGTGTGTTCGAGTTTTAGCGTCAGTCTGCTAAAGATACAGAGATACATTTGGCCAGAAGGTTCATCAAGTGTCACTGTGTCGTGGTCCCCTCCCCACGCGCTCAGATACACGAGTATCTATCTATTCGTCTGGTTCTGAGAGTCTGAGACTTCTATTAAGCTGTCTGTAACCTTGTGGTATTTATTATTAATTGGAAAAAAGTGCAAAAACAAAAAATATATATATGTAGTTGTAATTAAAACCGTGTTAGAGGCGGCTTCTTTTGAGCACTTGATGGACAGCCCCAACCCCAAGCACTAGTCGGGCCGTATAGATTAGACAGAGATTGCCGCAATAATTATGCCGAAAATAATTAGGAAATTTGAATGCAGAGCAGCCGTAAAAATAACCCTCATATAAAAGTGTTATCCCATCCGCTTTTGGATAAGCCTTGGCGCAGCTACTGGCTCTTGTGGGGACAAGTTTTCGCGGGGCCTGATAAGAGGGACTTTCAGCGATTGATAAGAGAAAACGCGATGCGTTATCACCACTGCCGCGCTGACCTGGCTGGCCCTCCTCACTCACCCAGTTTCCCCATGAGGTCCTCCAGCACATAATCCACAGCCATAATCGGAAGGATGTGTCTTCAACAGTTTCTGGTAGATGGCGGATATATGTTTTCGATTTCTGCTTGTCGGTTTTTAGCAAGCTGGCATCTTCCGAAGAACCGCCCCGATAATTCTGCTGCGAGGAACGTGCTCTCGAAAAGTTCCACAGCTCGTGCCACTCTAGACTCTTTCGACCGCCGGCCGCATTTGAACTGGCAAAAAGCTAACTGCGAACTGTGCCGCTGAGCTGAGCGAGCAAAACGAATCCAATGGAGCTCTGCCTCAAATAACACTCATACCACCGCAGAAAACCCTCACGCAAACATAGACAGTCGGTTGGCCAGGCAGACGACGATAAGGTCGTCCCACATACTCACTCCACTGCGAAATGGATCCCACTGATGTGTGTGTGTGTGGAGCTCGAGAGCTTTGCCCCCCTTCGTTTGTGGATCGTGGATCTTGAGAGTGCCTGTGTGCTTCCACCACATGATCGCAGACAGCGATCGCAATGATCTGATGGAATGGTAAAAAATCCATAAGATTAGGGTTTAAGCTTGCGATTCTTATGGCTACAGATCGCATACCGTAATACCATCAAAAGTAGAAATTTTAGCTTGTGGATCCTCATATCAATCTCAGTCGTTTCGATCTCATGGATAGCGAGATCTACTGAAACGGTCCCCAGAGAACAATAAGAACACCTTTGTGGCTCCACGGGCATAGATCGAACATGCATCATCAAAGATCAGAGCAGTCTGATCAAATTTCAAGTAGTTTTTCCAATCCTAGTCAGCCTTGGGTTAACACCAAATGTTTTATTAGAATAGCAAATAAAATCAAAATTTCAGGCTTCCCCAAATCTACATACAAATCGGAAAAACGGAGTTCAAATTTCCCAAATTCTTAGTGAAATTAATCAACTAACATAATTATGGCTAAAGCAAATGTATCGGATCCCGTGCCTTTTTTATATTTAGATTTAATGGCCGATCTTTTGATGCATGAGACGAAGGAAATAGCATCGGAATTCGAAAGAAAAGCAGAGTTTGTAAGGGAACAAGAGGCCGCAGTCCTAGAGAATGCCAAACTTGTGAGTACTAGAGGACGATAGGAACTTGTAAGTCCCTGATTCCGTGGTCTTTCATCAGCTCATCAAAGTCGATCAGTTTGTGGGAGATGTTAAGGCCTGTACAATGAAACTGGAAATGGATCTGGATGAGAACGAGCAGTTGCTGGCTGAAGCGGAGAAGGCAGCCTCCAAATTAGAGAGATCCTGTTCAACGTTCCCAGCCAACAGTTGCCGCATAGAGCCCTTGACGCGTCACACCTACTTGGATCTGTTGAAGAAAGTCGAGTCCGCAAAGAAAATGAGCGAAGAGTGCAACATCCTCAGAGCAGATTTCGATGCCTTTGGCAAAGAGACAGCCGAGCGCTTGGCTCCTGCAAATGTGGTAGGATACAGATTAGATGTCTTATAATGTTTAAGAAATACTTAAGGTAAATTCATCCTTAGATTGGCCAACTTATAGACTATCACAACAAAGCTTTGACCACCTTGGAGGAGCAGATCGAAGAGTTGGAGGGCAAGGTCGGAGCTATTGCCACCGAATACGAGGAGATTACTGAAGATCTGGGCATCAGCAGCTTGTCCAAAACATGCACATGCGAAATGGCCAAAGAGGTTCTAGCCAAAGATTTCTGTAATGATCATATTTTGAAAAACAACCGATAACATAATGGATTCATATGAATACTATTCACAATGTAAATGCAAACGTTTAAAACTGAAAGTTCAACTTTTTCTGCTTAAGATTAGGGTTTCTGTTGGTGTTTGTCTTTGATTCTTAAATTCTAGTTATTGGCATCGCGGAAGAAGAGCACATCGTCTGCGATGATGCTGGTGCTGGTCTTCTGGTTGCCCTGCTGGTCCGTGATCTCGCCATAGGTGATCTTGCCCTGCACCATGGTGCGCTGTCCCTTCTTCAGATACTCCAGCACAGTGTCGCGCAAATTGGGCTTGAAGACGACCACGCGATGCCAGTCCGTGCGCTGGGCCCAGTCGCCGTTCTCATATCTGTCCAGGGGGATAAAGACAAATCCGATTACAAATCGTATTCCATTGCGATTCAATTAAGAAGACGAACACATGCAGAGACTCTGTACTCACTTGTAGTTGGTGTGTGTGGCGACGGAGAATGTGACCACCGGATGCTCCTGGGAGCCGCGCAGCTGTGGATCGGCCCCCACACGACCCAAAACGGTGACCGTGTTGACAGCTGCAGTTGTTCAAAAAACAATAAGTAAGATTTCGTCACTGTACAGTCTAATTACCACGCACTTTTTTCAATTTTGGCGGGTGCCACCGATGTCGTGGTTGATGCACCGCGTGCCGGCATGTTATGCCGCAGACCGCCTAGCACCGGCCGCAGCTGCAATCAATACACAATCAATTAATACACTGCTTTTGCTTGCCGTGGGACTCATTAACCTACCGCATGTCTAACTTGTTGCATCATTTTATTTTTTTGCGAATTTCAACCAAAATTACGATTTAGAGATGCACACATGTGTGTGAACCGATAACAAAAGTGAACTAAACCCCCTCAAGCCCCCAATATTTAAGCAGAATAAAAACTTGAGGTAATCCACGGAAATTAATCCTAATAATATATTAAATTTTTCTTGTAGATCCATTCCATCCTTCATTTTTACTTAAGAAAAATACTACGATACCTTTCACGTGAACGGCTTTTAAAATATTAAGGTTTCTCAATTTCCGTGAACTGTATTTTAATAACCACCGGGCGACAACGGGTTAATGTAACGTGTGAATAACCGAAAAAGAATTCCTCGATTTCAAACTGGCAAAAGTTTTATAAATATTAATTACATGTTAAGGTCCTCACCATCATCTTACAAGTAAATTCACCTTGTATGGACTGCTGTAAAAAGAGGGGCTCCACGCCTGTGAGAGGTATATGTATTAGAAAATCACCAATACGCTTTGGTTGCGACTCCTTGGGGGCTTGTGCAGGCTACACCTCTTCTTCCTGCTCATTGTTTGGATACTTCGAGTGATCAATAATCCTCCATATCCCCTCTAGTATGTCCGATAATCTCAGCAGGCTGCAGCAGGATTTGTTGAGGCAGGCACATCCTATTGGGTACTATAGCTATCAAGTGAGCCTTGACAAATTCTTTCGAAGTATAGGAAAACCCCGATTCCATTAGATAACTAGAACACACCAGATAGTCAACTTCAATTCGAAATTTAAACAGAAATATTATACAAAATAATTGTAGCTTTAAAACGGAAATCATGTTCTGCGATTGGTTGAACGAATTGCAGCGTTTTCTGCACTGGGGACCCGTGATTGTCTTTAGTTTGATGACCTGCGTGACCTGGACAACCGTACACGTGAATGCCATGTGGTGGCCGCCCGCGGAGTCGTTTAACGCTGCCATCAACTTCGTTCTGATTGTGTTCTTCAATCTGATTACCCTTTATCACTTTAGCATGTCGATTCTGGTGGGACCCGGGCTTCTGCCGAAGCATTGGCGGCCCGAAAACCCCGAGGACGAGCAGTTCCTGCAGTTCTGCAAGGTGTGCGACGGCTACAAGGCACCGCGGGCGCACCACTGCCGCCGCTGCAAACGATGTGTCTTGCGGATGGACCACCACTGCCCGTGGATCAACAACTGCATCGGATGGGCCAACCAGGCGAACTTCTTCTACTTCCTGTTCTTCTTCATGCTCGGGAGCATTCAGTCAGCCCTGATCATTGGCTTCTCCTGCTACGAAGGCATCTATCGCAGGGCCCTGCTGAAGCAGGGCGATACCGACGGAATCCGAGTCGTGTTGACCCTCCGCAGTGCCATGGCATGCATGTACAGCCTGGGCATTGTGGTGGGCGTGTTGCTGGCCACGCTGAAGCTCATGCAACTGCAGATCAAGGCTATAATATGGAACCTCTCCGAGATCGAGGGCTGGATCGTGAAGAAGGCCGAATACCGTCGCTACGCGAGTAGTTCGATTGGAATTGCCATTCCCACATTCGACTACCCGTACGACATGGGCGTTTGGCGCAACATCCTGGAGACCTTCACACCCAGCAACGACGGCATCAACTGGCCCGTTCGCCCCGGCTGCGATCAGTACACTATGACGCGCGAGCAACTGGCCCAGAAGGTGCAAAAGCGGGCCCGCACCCGCACCTACAGGTGCATAGCATCGGCCACAGGGTACTGGCTGCCCATCCTCTCCCAGGGCCTGATGGTCACCATTTGTATGCCCTGCGCTGACGATCCACGCATTGTCGTGCACAAGGGCGATCTCGTGCAGGTGACCCGCGTCCAGGAATATTGGCTCTACGGCGAACGGGTGCTCTCCAAGCGGGAGCAGAAGCTCCAGAAGAAGCACCAGCTCAAGGGGCACATACGCGGCTGGTTTCCGCGCTGCTGTGCCGTCGAGCAGTTCGATGAGGACCAGTCTGCCGGTGACACTGTGGATGTCACTCATAACACCGATCAGAAGAAGACCAAGACCGGATCCAAGATAAAGAAGCGCAAAACCTAAGCCCAACACTTTTTCCCTTAATTAAAGAGCGTGTTGGCGGTGCGTCTATCGTTTGTTTCCTGCTGGTTAACCAAGGCATTCATCTCTTAATAATTTATGCTGATACTTAATACTTTGGTCGTAAGGCGGTTGTACGTACATTCTCCACACATTGAGTTTCGTGAACTTGCGCTAGTGGCAGGTGCACCACTGGCACTCCCACCATCAGATTTACGGTACTTAGAACTGTAGGCAACGGCCGTGGTCCAGGCATAGCTGTTAGTCCTGCGATTGAGGATCGAGTCATACGGGGCCGGATTCTGCAGCCAGAAATATCAGACTATGCCACATGCTACTGTCATCCGCATCTACATATCATTTAGTATCTATCAGAGCAGGCCTTTGATATCTTGTTAAGGCTTTCAGGTGGGTCGAAATGTATCTGGAGCTCCTTCAAATCCCACTTTCAATAATAGGAAATATAATTTTCCTGCTGTACCGTCGTGTGGCATTTCGGCTGCTCGGAAAAATAAAGACACACGTGGAAATGTGGAAAGTGCAGGCTCTAGTGGTGCAGATCCTGCTGGTCAGCTGCCTGCTGAAGATCTACTTCGAGGGGAGTCGTCTGCTGCCCAACTTGAAGCCCCAGAAGGTGCTTCCGGAATCGGGAATCGGTCCGCCGGCGAATCGTCTGGTGGTTTTCCTCACCGATGGCTTACGCGCCGAGACGTTCTTTGCGGATAACTGCAGCTCCGTGCCGGACCTGCGGGAGGTATTCGTGAATCAAGGACTCGTGGGGATATCCCGCGGCAGTGTGCCTACCCTCGTGCGCTCCGGCCAGATTGCCATCTTTGGTGGCTTCTACGAGACTCCACCGCTGCTCCGCACTGGCTTCCAATGGAATCCGTCGACATTCGACACTGTCTTCAACCGCAGCAAGACCTCTTTATGCTGGATAGAAAGTCAGACGAATGTCTACACAAAGTCCTTGACGCGCGGAATGTTTCAGCACCACTCATCGGATCCCAAGCCCAAAGATCCTTGGGTCCTCCTTCAGCTCCGCTCGTACCTGGGCATCAATGAAACAGTCGACAAATTACGGTCTAAGACTTCTCTGATACTCTTCGTATATCTGGGGAATATTGCTACCGAAGGTCCCTTGAGCAAGCGCTATCTGGAGAGGCTGCATTCTGCACAGCGCGGCATCCGCGAGACCTATGACCTGATCGAGAGCACCTTCAACGACAGCCGCACTGCATATCTGATGACATCGAGCCATGGCATAAGTCATTTGGGTAGATATATTCATTAAAAGCGTCGCCTCTCTGTTGAAATTTGCAATCCTTTGGATTTTTTCCTTTTAGGCTCCAATGTCGCAGGATCCCGGGATGAAACCGATACGCCTTTCTTCCTCTGGGGTTCCGGAGTGCGCCAAACGGCCCATAATGTGGCCCCCACCTTTGCTGCAAACAACGCAGGGCTGCAGCGGCCCCTCATCGACCTGCAGCAGATCCAACTGGCGCCCATCATCTCTGCGTTGATCGGTGAGCCGCCGCCAGTGAACAATTTGGGCAGATTTCCATTGGGCTTCCTGGACGTGTCCATGGAGCAGGAGACGCAGGCAGCTCACTTGAATGCGCTTCAACTTCTGGCCCAGGCGCAGCTCTTGATGCGGCACCACGAGCTCGGTTTCTTTGACAAGTTCCTGCCGCAATTCAAACACCTGAACCAAAGCCAAGCCGAGAGCTATATCCTTGAAATGGATCGAGAGATGCGGATGGGCAGAACGCAGGAGGCACTGCAGACGATTGAGAAGGTGGCAGCTCTGGCGCAGGAGTGCTTGCGGTACTATCATAGCTACTATCGCATTCCACTGCTGATTGCCACGATGGCTGGACTCTCGGGATGGATATACTGTCTGTTGGTCCAAGCATCGCAACAGGCCAGAAACTCCAGTGAGCCGCCGGAGAGCGTTGAATTGATCTCGTGGACGAATGTGGTGATGGGCGCACTGGGAGTGGTTGTTAGCGTGATAATCCTCCTGCTCAAGGTGCCCTTCCTGATTGGCTTCTGCCTTTTGCTGCCCATCTACATCTGGTGCATGGCCCTGGCCGGACGACCACTGCAGGGCAAACCCATCCGCTACGGTCTGCTGCACCTCAAATTGATCCTCGTCTCCATTGTGTGTTTCATCGTTCCCATTTTCCGGAGGGGCTTGCTCTGCCTGCTCTATGT